TAATTTAAGTTCTGAAAAGGAGAATACTGACATGGTGAGTTCTTTCTTCTGCACTATATAGTAAGCTGACTTATCCAATAAGTTTATTTTATTGAATTTACTTGCTGTTATTGTGAGTTTAAGAATATTATATTTCAAGCAAGCAAGGATCATTCTGTAATAACAGATGCTGTCAAATCACAGTATGACTTAAAGAGTGTCATACACCAGTGGGGATTTTTGGAGAGTTTTTCTATTCACCTCTGTTGGTTTCCTCTACTGTGTTTGAGTAGCCTTTTATGGCTCATATATTTAGGAGAAGTGAAGGTGAGTGATTACCAGATAACAGAATGAATATTCTTTATTTAGAAAATATAGTGTTTACATATCCTTTTAAAAATTTAATATATGCTGTAAGTGGTACATATGTTTATATGAATTCACTTCCAATAGAAATAATTCAAATTTTAATTATACGATATACATTGTCCCATACAGAACAATGAAATTGAAAAACTACATAAAACATTCAAAAACCCCTAAAAACTCTGAAACCCCATTTTAAAATACAATACACTATACTATACTATACTATACTATACTATACTATACTATACTATACTATACTATAAAATACACTATAATATAAAATACACTATACTATAGAGACCCCTTATGCTGCGTTTAGAACCAGAATTGCATTTGCGTAGAAACTGTTTCTCAGGTGGCTAGTCCTGGCCTTTATAACCCTATACCTTCTTCCAGAAGGCAGAAGCTGAAAGAGATAATTTCTGGGGTGCGTACTATCCTGCGCTATCTCTGCCGCTTTCTTATGGCACCTGGCAGCATAGATTTGATTTAAGGTGGGAAGAGTGCACCCAATTATTCTCTCTGCAGTCTTTACAACCCTGGATAGCATTGTTTTTTCCCTGGCCATGCAGCTCCCAAACCACACGCACAGACCATAAATTAATATGCTCTCCACAGTGCAATGGTAAAAAGCCATCAACAGGTCCTTTGAGAGATTGTTTTTCTGGAGGATTCTCAGAAAATGTAACCTCTGCTGTGCTCTCTTTATCAGGTCTTTGCTGTTTTCTCCCCAGCTTAGGTCGTCTCTCAACTCCATTCCCAGAAATCGAAACACCGAGACCTGTTCCACACACTTCCCCTCAATAATAAGTGGCTGAATATTCAGTTTACATTTCCTAAAGTCCGCAGTGATCTCTTATCATTGTGGGCCCTGCCACACAGAACATGTAGGAATGATTATTTTGTCCTACACTGTGCACAGAGCTTCTCTGGCAGGTCTCCAACTGCACAAGGGGATCTTTGGCAGTGGACCTCCCTCTCTGTCAACCCAGAAAGTTTCACAGAATCCTAAAGCTCCTCCCTCCTAGGGGAGCATAAGATTGTCCTCTTAGTTACTGTTTGGCCACATGCTGTGATTTAATGTACTATGATGCTGTTGGTATTGTGAGCAGTTTTAAAGTCAGGCAGCAGTCAATCTCTCAATAACTTCTAACTTGAGGAATGGGGGGTGGGGGAATGTGGTGAAACTATTTTATTAAAATGAAGAAATTTCAAGCTGACTGTATTTATAGAAAATATAAATTATTTACTATTTTTATATAGTGCTATCTATGTTTTTGTAAATTGCTTAGAAATTTTCACAATTAAGTGGTATATAAATCCTGCAAAATAAGAATAAATGTAAAACGTGTATGACACTCTACAAACAAAAGGTATGGCAGGTGCCAAAATCAAATAAAAGGATTGCATTCTATGTAAGCAATATGCTTGTAAAGTTGAAAACGAAACTTAATTTGAAATAAGAAAAGTGGGCAATTAACTTTCATTGTTCCATCATACTGGAGGACAGAATTTAACACACTTCTGAAGTAGACACATTTGGATGCTTGTGAATTGATTCTGCAGTGTAAGACGGAATGAATCTAACCAGTGCTATTCACGCAAGTCTTGACAGTTTTTGATGTCTTCCTTTAGATATGCATAATTTAATTTTTTGTTCTGTGGATTGTGAATGGTACTAATGCACTCTACTCCATATACTTTAATTTATTTGGTAAGAGCATGGGTAGTTCTGCCCGTCTAAAGGAGGTTTGGATCTGTGTTTCTAATGCACCCCGTCACTCACATGACAAGCTTTCTTTTTTAAAAAAACTGATAGGAGTATCATAAACAGTTTATGATATGGCATGAGCAAGAGGTGGGGTAGGCATGGACTGGAATGACTGTTCAGCTAAAAAAAGGTCAAACTTTCCGTTGGATGTGCCTTTGGAAACACTTAAAGTTGCTCTTAGAATTGTAGCCAAGATGCATGCCCACTGATGATAATTTTTTATATATAAAAGGAGTGCTTTCTTTTCTGGGGATACTCAAGTGTATGCAGTACTGGCACCTTTTTATTATCAAATGTTAAAAGTGTGGCACTTATGTAACAACTTCATGGTGAGTACCAACACCTTTCCCCCCCCATAATAACTTATAATAACTAGATGATTATATGTTTTTAACTTCATGCTTGAGATCCGCCGTTACACCGTTTGGAGTTTGGGCCTCCCAACAGGCACTCTGAGGAGGTCAAACTTAAAGCTCAAGAAAATGCTCAGCCAACTTCAGTTTGTTTTTGGAATTCAGCTTTGAGAAGCACCCTAAATAAATGAAAGATTATTCACACTTACCTAGGAGCAAGTCCCGTTGAATTCCCCCTCTTGCTGAAGGGAAGGGCATCTTTGCACACATGTAAATGAAGATGAGACGGTTTAGACTAGGCCCAAGCTCTGTCTTGTGGGGAAGCCTTCTTTGGATCTGGCTGAAGTAGGCTGTTGGACCGACTTCCTCCCAGTCCCGTCAGAGAGTCCATCCACCTAGGATTAGCTGGTAAGTCTTTTGGGTGGCCAGGAGGCATGTCCCTATTTTCATCGGAGAAATGTTGGAAGGTACATAATCGTTTGATCAGATTGATTGTAGTGGAAGGATTTTGTTACCTGCATGGCACTGCCTTAACTGTGGGGCAGATGCTTCAATTAGGTGCCGTTCGGTAGTGTGGTATACTGAACTGATTATAACGAGTTGTAATGTGCAATCACAGGATAAGGAAGGGAAGAAATTGAAGTGTTCCATGAAAGAAAGCTTATTGGAGACACTCACTAAGGAAATAGAGGAACCATGGGCCCTGAGGGGAGGAGGTCTTGATCCCAGATGTTTAATGGCCTGTGACAACCAATGGCAAGAGCAGCCTCTTCTGGTCCACAAATGGGCAGCAAATGGATCAGCCTTAGGACCGAACCAAAGATCCAAGTCGGAGTGGAGCTGCCTAAAGGAGGCAGACAAGGCAAGATGGACTCTCCTTTCAGTTTAGAAGAAGGTACCTACACCGCTGGCCACATGACCCGGAAGCTGTCTGCGGACAAATGCTGGCTCCCTTGGCCAATAAAGCGAGATGAGCGCTGCAACCCCAGAGTCGGTCATGACTGGACCTAATGGTCAGGGGTCCGTTTACCTTTTTTACCTACACTGCTGGGGTGAATGTGATATACAGTTGTAGCCTTTCTTTAAATTGACATTCGATTCTTTACATTTACTTTCTTGGTTGAAGAGAGACAACTTAAATTGGTTAATGAATATCAGCTGTCAGTAATAAGACATAACAATTCCACTTCTCTGAAAATAATGAAGACACTTCAGTGTGAAGACTTACAGTAGGAACCTGGGGACCAAATAGGAATGCAGAGGTGTCCGAGAAACAGATGCAAGTTGGAGAGAGAAAGGAGTCTTGAGGAATCCTATATGATCCTACCTGAGTACTGACATCTGCTTCTGAGGCACTCCTCTGAATGCCCTCATCTTCAGAGAATAGGTGAGCTGTGACAGAAGAGAAAGGCTTTTAGAAGAGGCACAAATCTTTGAAGACTTGCATATATGTGCCAAATTAAGACTTAATTTTATGAAGCTTTTTATTTAATTGCTCACCACTTCTAATTGCTCCAATGCCCCCACGCCCCAAAAAGAAAAATCACTCTTGTTAAGGTAGAGGGAATGGAAATTTCACCAAAGTGTTTAGGGAAGTTTTCATTTACCTTACCTAACTTTATGAGGTGGTTGAAGGTTCTCACCCCATTTTTTCTTGCTTTTTCACTTTTTTAAAAAAATCTACACACTGCTAGCAGTAGTGCAAGGCTCTCTTTGCCACTTCCCATCAGCTGCACTTCCTGGAATGCCTTGGGGAGGTGAGCCTACATCATTTCATGTATCACCTATGGCACTGCAGGAAGTGTAGCCGGAGGGAATTGTCACAACGCACTCTCCCGTTTCTTGTAGGAGGCACTTCTTAGAATGCCTTGGGAATGGCACAACGCTATGTTGCATTCCACCACTCCCAAAAAATGCAGCCACTGAGAAGCTGTAGAGAGAGCCTCACACCACTGTGACCAGTGTGGGGTTGTTGTTCTAAGTTCAAAAACAAGAATAAAAAGAGAAAACCCTAGGCCTCCTAAGTGTAAGATAATCAGCAATCCCCTTCCCCCATCATTGCAAATGCAAATATTTTTTCCCCATTTTTAATATAGGAACAGACACTAATTTGTTAGTCCGCTATAATATTGGCAACATCTGAGGACACCTGAAACTTAAAAATAACATCACCATTCATATATATGGATCATAGCTATATTACTGTACACCTTGCACACAGAGCTGTTTGTCTTGGAAAATAATGGTAATTGAATAGCAGCAATATAGTCCTATTACGTTGAATCAAATAACCTCTGCATAAGCAGCAGAAAAAAAATCATGATGAAAAGCAGAATGATTGCAACTCTAGTGTGAAGCACCTGCATTTTCTCACTGTGACTCTGGGTGTCGCTGTTCACCAATCCAGCAGACTAACACATGGAGCGATCGAGCCTGCCCATTTTTACAGATAGGCTAGAATGGAACTGACTGTTCAGGGAACAAAATGATGCAGGTTTTGCTTTAAAAATAAAAAAGGACAGATAAAAGCTATTTGAACAAGAACTAGTAGTATTCTTTCTCGTGGAAGGAAATGGAAGAAAAACAGAGGCCTTGGAGTTACAAAGAAATAATCATACAATGCCTTGTAATGGTGAATATTTGGAAGGCAGTTTCTGGACAGATCCACTACTCCATTCCAGAGGAGATGCAGAAAAGCTCATTTGTGGGGAATATTGCAAAGGACTTGGGGATAGATCGGAAGCAGCTTTTGGACCATGGACTCCGCATTGTAACTAGTACAGGTATGATTCAGTATTTTGAACTGAATTTCAATACTGGCCATTTACAAACCTCTGAGAGAATAGACAGAGAGAAAATCTGTGGAAGGGCAGAAATGTGCATCTTAAAGTTTCAAGTTATTGCTGAGAGCAACTTAAAGCTTTATGTCATTGAAGTAGAAATCATGGATATAAATGATAATGCTCCCTTCTTTTTGCTGAAGGGATGGGAACTAAAAATCAGTGAATTGTCTACACCTGGATCCCACTTCCCTCTTCCTGAAGCTCAGGATCCAGATCTGGGGATAAATTCTATACAGAGCTACCAACTCACAGGCAGTAGCCATTTTTCTCTGGATGTTCAAATGGGAGAAAATGGGGCAAGACATGCAGAGCTGGTATTGGAAAAGCCACTGGACAGGGAAGAGCAATCAGATTATGATCTACTCCTCACAGCTACTGATGGAGGTGATCCCATCAGGTCTGGCACAGTACAAATCCACATCATTGTTCTTGATGCAAATGACAATGCACCTGTTTTCAGTCAACCTCTTTATGAAGTGAGTGTCAGTGAGAATATTCCCAAGGGGTCCACACTTTCTACGGTGCAAGCCACTGATATGGATGAAGGAATCCATGGAGACATAAAATACTCTATCCAAAAAATCATGCAAAGGGACTCCCAAATGTTTCTGTTAAATTCCACAACTGGCGAAATCATCCTTACTGGGAATCTTGATTTTGAGGAATCATCCTTATATGAATTTGAGGTGCAAGCCATGGATGGGGGTGGTCTAAGTGACAGATCAAAGGTTGTGATCTTTGTTACAGACTTGAATGACAATGCACCTGAAATAACAATAACTTTTGAACTCAACTCTGTCCGTGAGAATTCACGAACTGGAACTGTCATTGCCATTTTAAATGTCCAAGACAGAGATTCAGGAGTCAATGGGGAGGTTATGTGTTCAATTCCCAATAGCCTTCCTTTCCAACTAAAGAAAACAATGGACAATTTTTACACTTTAGTGACAGACAGAGCCCTTGATAGGGAACAAGTGGCGACCTATGATATCCCTGTTACAGCAGCTGATAATGGGACTCCAACATTATCAACCTCTGCAATTATTTCACTGCAGCTGTTAGACACAAATGACAATCCCCCACTCTTTTTACAGTCAGCCTACACCTCTTATCTCCTAGAAAATAATCCAAGAGGTGCCTCAGTCTTTTCTCTGAAAGCAAGTGATCCAGACTGGGAAGAGAATTCCAGAATAGTATATTCCATCACTGAAAGTCAGATCAGCACATCCCCTCTCTCCTCATACCTCTCCATTAATTCTGAAACTGGGGTTGTTTATGCCTTGACCTCCTTTGATTATGAAGAGTTTCAGGAAATTAAGTTCCTAGTCAAGGCCCAGGATGGAGGCTCTCCACCACTCAGCTCCAACATTTCAGTGACTCTCTTCATCCTGGACCAGAATGACAATGCTCCCCAAATCCTATTCCCCTCCCCTCCCACCGACGACTCCACAGGGATAGAGTTGGCCCCTCGCTCCTCTGAGCCAGGCTACCTGGTCACTAAGGTGGTGGCCGTGGATGCGGACTCTGGCCAGAATGCCTGGCTCTCCTACCAGCTGATCAAGGCCACCGAGCCAGGGCTCTTCACTCTGGGGCTCCACACGGGAGAGATCAGGACGGCCCGATTCTTTCTGGAGAAAGATGCCCTCAAGCAAAGCCTGGTGGTTTTAGTCAAGGACAATGGGCAGCCTCCAATGTCGGCATCAGTCACTGTCACTGTGGTCTTGGCAGACAGCATCCCTGACATGCTGACTGATCTGAGCAGCGTCCCAGTATCTGAAGACCCACAGTCAGATCTCACCTTCTACTTGGTGACTGCAGTGGCTTTTGTCTCCTGCTTGTTCCTCGCCTTCCTCCTTGTGTTACTGGCACTCAAACTTCGCAGGTGGAAAAATTCTCAGCTATGTGACAATGGAAGTGTGCATTTTGATGGTGCTCCCATCTCTCAATTTGTGGGGATTGATGGAGTCCGGGCATTTCTTCAGTCTTATTGCCATGAGGTTTCACTGACTTCAGGCTCTCGGAAAAGTCAGATCCTTTTTCCAATCGGAAGTTGTACCAATACTCTGACACCACAACAGGCTCCTGATAAGCCAGGCCCTTTGCTAGTTATAGGTGATTCTAACACAGTTACGGAGGAGGCAGCAATTCATCAGGTGAGTACATAAATGTCAAGACTTTGGTTTCCTTTATTCAATATTCAGTATTCTATTATTGCATGACAAAACCTAAAGAAAGCCTGCTTATGCTTTTTATAACAAATATTTAAAGAGATAAGGTATTTTGGGGTCCTTACATAATGAAGCAATTACTTTATTGTTTCAAATAAATACTGTATTTCAATTTAGGACATATTTTAAATAAATCATCTTAGGATAAGTCTAGTGGCAGCCACCTCTCTCTCTTTGAGCCACTGTGACTATGTTGCTGGCTGACACCATCCCTGCCACCCTTTCAGATCTGAGCAGCATCGTAGCTGCTTCTGATCCTTATCCTACCTGGTTATTGGAGTGGGCTTTGTTTCATGTTCTTAACTTTCCTCTTGTGTTATTTGCACTCAAGGTTCACAGCTGCAGAAATTCCTAATAACTGTTACTGTCTCACAGTTCTCAGAGATCTATCTAATCCATGCCTTTCTTCAGTCTTACTGCCTGATATGCTTGTACAAAGCTTACGTGGAGGTCATACAATGTCTAGGGTTGGGCGTTACCAGCTTTTCAACATAGCCATGTATCACCAACCAGACATTGTGATATAGTGATACATTGCCATGTTGAAAAGCGGAGCGAGGGACAAGCTGCATTAGGCCTAGCCATGTGAGGCACTGGGGTGAAACTGCCTCCGTATATATGGTGAAGGTGCCATATATACCACCAGGTGAAGATACCATTGTGCTCTGGCTCTCAAACCCGTCCTGGGCGATGTATCAATACATTGGCCAGTCCTAACAACGTCTCTTCTTTATTGAGCATCTGATTTTGCATTCAGGTTTGTTACCTTTTGTGATGGCTCTGTTAGTACTAGTTACAGTTAGGTAGCCGTGTTGGTCTGCCATAGTCAAAACAAAATAAAAAAATCCTTCCAGTAGCACCTTAGAGACCAACTAAGTTTGTTATTGGTATGAGCTTTCGTGTGCATGCACACACTTCTTCAGATATTCTGTTAGTACTGTTTTAGTTCTGTGGGTGTGGTTGTTATCTGACAAATTTTTCTGGGAGTGAAGGAGTGGTGACGTGTGATTAAGGGCCCCCTTTCCTTTCAGATTTTGAACACTGACTGAGGAGGTGGTTTTTAATTTTTTTAAGACTATCAAAACTAGATGGAATAGGGAAGATGCATACCAGCCTCCCATGCAATAGTCCTGCCTTGTTTCATTCCACTCCAATCCTAAACTCTACTGTAAAACTCTGGCCTTGTCTTCTAAATCTGAGTTGAGGGAGGGGAGGTGCCCACCCAATTGCCGTCTGGCCCAGAGCTTTTGCTTTCTTAATGGCCCATTGTCGTTCCTTTGTTCTCTCTTAATGGCTCATCTCCCAGGTGATTACTTCATAAGGAAGCTCACCTGTCTTACATTTTAACCTGTGTTGGGTCCAGGAATTTAGGGGAGTCTGGCACCCACAAACTCATAACAATATATTTGGCGGGGGGACTGCTGCTTTTCGTTGGCGCCTGTGTCATCTAATTGTGCATTAACAGTAGCAGTAGTAACAATGCTGGGGCATGTTCAGCTTCTCTGCTGTTATCTTCAAATCTTACAACTTTTCACAAAATAGTTGCTTCGTCTTTCTTTACCTCTGTGCTCTATAAGCCCTATGAAGCATTATTATCTGATCATGCAATGCATTTCGGCATTCAGTGCCGTGAGACCAAAAGATCTTCAGAATAAAATCAGAGTTCTGTAATTAGAGAGATACCAGGGTAATGTGATTTGCCCTCCCCCCCTTACTATATTTTTGTTGTTGTCTTAGGTGGAGGAGAGATGTTCTAAGAGAAAAATGTGACTGTAAAGATGAGAAAGCGTTTCCAAAATTGTTTTTGGAAGTTTTATACACAGTGCCAATGTGTATCAAAACTTTACTTTAGACAACTAGGAAATGTTGGTGGGAGACATTGTGTAGAATAAAGAGTCTGACGGAAGTGCTGCACATAGTGCCCACATGTACCGCTCTCCACAGTGATATGTACTTCTTCCATATGAGCAGGAAACTTCTTGCATACAAACAGGAAAAAAATACCATCCTTATTTTACCACACTATTCTGTGATTTCTAATCTTCATTTCATCTGCTTCTAATCAAATTGTGTCATCTTCATATTTCACTATGGAAACATATTTACACTTCCAGTTCTTGTTTATTCTTTTATTCAGTTGTTGAGTATCTTTATTGCATTTGTAGTCCATCTCAGAACTTTGATGCAAAGGTTGGATGCAGGATTCATTGCTTTCATATAAAACAGCAAATACACATGCATGGATTTGACTGAAATCACAATCATTTGCATCTAAAACATTAGTTGAATGGGCACCTATCTTATATATTTTTCATGTGAATTAAAAACACACAACAACAATAGGAATCTTAATACAATACTGAGTGCGCAGGTCAACGTTGCCAGGTTTTAAAGTGACAAACATCTTGTACTATTTGTTTCATCTGTTCAGAAGATAGTTGAGGAGATATCTTAGATTGCAAACTGCCCTAGGCAGTCACCTGTTTTGCTCCCCATTGATCCAGACCTAAAATATACATATCTACATAATATGCTGCTTTGCACATCGTGCTAAGCCATAGTTTGTTTTAAATCATGACTTACTCCTGCCGCTGTGGGCACTATGTGCAGCACAAGCAAGCCATAGTAAGATTTGTTGTGTGAAGCCAACATATCTTCTAGACTTCTTACTGTCTTACCACTCATGGCTTCTGTGAAACAAGCAAACCATGATCCATAGAATCATATAATTGTTGAGTTGGAAGGGACCATGAGGGTCATCTAGTCCAACCCCCTGAAATGCAGGAATTTTTTGCCCAAAGTGGGGCTCAAACCCATGACCCTAAGATTAAGAGTCTTATGCTCTACTAACTGAGCTATCCCAGATCCATACAACACAACATGCCACAGAATGGCTTCTTTGTGCCATGTGTGGCACCTGCAAGGACATGGGAAAGCTGCAGTAGAGCTAGGAGGCATGTTCATTTGTTTTATTTATTTAATTTACAGATTTATAAACACTGTCCCAGCCTGACGCCATTGAACTGGTATTTTAAAACAGGAAAGAAAAAATACAAAGTTTAAGAGACTCCAAAAACAATTTTCAAAAGATTTCTACACTTGTACAATTAATATTGAATAAAACCACTAGGTCACACTTCAGGGGGTGCCTTGTTCAGTTAACTTAAAATAAACTGGCTTATATTGGTATGCAATCCAAATCAAAATCTCTATTTATTCACATTAACTGGGACTGCGTCTCATGCAGTTCTCTGTCTAAACCTCGTAGTGTCACTGTTAGCCAATCTAGATGCAGATCCACAGATACTTCCTATACTGTGATACCTCAAAGCAACTGCACAGATAATGGAAACAGCAGAGCACAAAGGAAGAGAAGCTGAGAAGCTGAAAATACTACTGGTTTAAATACACTAAGAAAAAGCGAGATTATTCTATCTAACGGGTTTGTCTCTTGTTCTGCTGAGAAACCTGTTCAAAACAAGCTGGAAAAGTATTTTATCAGAAAACAGAATGGACAGAAGGCAGAAAGAGGATGGCAAGGCACTCAGAAGGCAAGTACTGCTTCTCTTATTTTTGCCTTTCTCCTGCTGGGCTGCTTCAGAACAGATTCATTATTCCATTCCTGAGGAGATGGCAAAGGGTTCAATTGTGGGGAATCTCGCCAAGGATTTGGGACTGAATGCGAGAGATCTAGGAAGGCGCAATCTGCATGCTGTCTCTGTGAATAAAATGCAGTATTTCAGTATCAATGCAGAAAATGGAAACCTCTATGTAAATGACAGGATTGACAGAGAGGAAATATGTGGCACAACTCCACTCTGCCTGGTTAATTTTGAGGTGGTGATTGAAAATCCCTTAAATGTTTTCCATATAACTGTGGAAATTCAGGATATTAATGACAATACTCCACATTTTTTGAAAATTAATATCAACTTAGAGATTGTGGAATCCACTTTGCCAGGCACCAGATTTCTCCTTGGGAAAGCTGAAGATCCTGACATAGGGATGAATTCGCTCCAGAATTACCAGCTGAGCTCTAATAAATATTTGACTTTGGATGTTAAGGAGACTTATGATGGAAATAAATTTGCAGATTTAGTGCTGCAGAAACCATTAGATCGAGAGACCGAACAGACCCTTCACTTGATCCTCACAGCGTTGGATGGGGGTGAACCTAGAAAAACTGGGACTGCCCAGATATGGATTAATGTCACAGATGCCAATGACAACCCACCTGTTTTCACTCAAGAGGTGTACAAGGTCAGTTTGAGGGAAAGTGTTGCAGTTGGATCGCTTGTGCTCCAGGTTACAGCTTCTGATAATGATGAAGGTTCAAATGCCCAAATCAGGTATCATTTTAGCAATATACCACAGAATGCCAACAAGAAATTCAGTCTAGATCCTTTGAATGGCTCAATCCTACTTATAGGGCTACTGGATTTTGAGGAAACCAAAGAATACACTTTGACCGTTGCAGCAAAAGATGGGGGTGGGTTAGAGACACATTGTAAAGTTGAAATAAGAGTTATTGATGAGAATGACAATTACCCCGAGGTAACCCTGGTTTCCTTGTTTAGCCCAGTCTCTGAAGATTCTCTGCCTGGTACCTTAATAGCTCTGATCAATTTGAATGACAAAGATAGTGGAGATAATGGAAAGGTCACTTGCTATTTACAGGATGATTTGCCCTTCAGAATCATTCCCTCATCTAACAATTACTACAAGCTCCTGACAGATAGTCCACTTGACAGAGAAATAGCTCTACAGTACAATATCTCAGTAACAGCCTCTGACAATGGCACTCCCCTTCTCTCCTCACATAAATCTATCACACTTTTGATTGCTGATATCAATGATAATGCCCCTACCTTTCAGAAGCCATCCTACAACATCTATGTGCCAGAAAACAATCCTTCAGGTGCCTCCATTTTCACCATTAAAGCCTCTGATCCTGATGTGGACCAGAACTCACGGATCACATATTCCATCCTCAACAGCAACATCGAGGAGCTTCCCATCTCCTCCTATATCTCCATTAATTCTGAGACCGGCACCATCTATGCCCAGAGATCCTTTGACTATGAACAATTCAGAGAGTTCCGGCTGCAAGTGAAGGCCCAAGATGGGGGTTCTCCCCCTCTCAGCAGCAATGTGACCGTCAGGGTGTTTGTTCTCGATCGGAATGATAACAGCCCTCGTATCCTGTCCCCCTCACAAGAAGCCAAGGGCTCAGCCTTGTTTGAGATGGTGCCTCGTTCGGCCGAGGCAGATTATCTTGTCACCAAGGTGGTGGCCGTGGATGCAGATTCTGGACACAACGCCTGGCTCTCCTACCACCTGACTCAGGCCACTGAGCCGGCACTCTTCACGGTTGGTTCTCATACTGGAGAGATCAGGACCTCCAGGGCCTTTGTGGAGAGAGATGCTGTGAAACAGAGACTGGTCATTCTGGTGAAGGATAACGGGCAGCCGTCTCTCTCGGCCACCATGACTCTGAACCTGGTGTTTGCTGAGAACTTTCAGGAGGCCCTTCCGGAAATGAAGAGCCAACCCAGCAGCTCGGAGTATCAGTCTGACCTGCAGTTCTACTTGGTGCTGGCCTTAGCTGTGATCTCCTTCTTGTTCCTCTTGACCGTGATTCCGGCCGTTACAATGAAGCTCCATCAATCCGGGCATCCCAGGTTCCTACAGTGCTTTGGTCCTGTTCCCCATTCCAAGAATGGTGCCATCTTCCCACCCAACTTTGAAGATGGGACTTTGCCCTATTCCTACCAGCTGTGTCTGTCTTCTGAGACCAGGAAGAATGAGTTTGCCTTCCTGACACCCAATGTTCAGATGGCAGACAATATTCTTAGTGGTGAGAAATCTGACGTTCCTTTCACAGGGGGAAGTGAAAGCAATTTGCATTTGGACAAAGTTAATAATGACAAGGTAAATTTTCTTTTCAAAAATTATTTGTGCTGTATTTTCAGTAATTTTTAACCATAACTATAATGGAAATATTAATTGTTTACATGTAGCTTACTCTAGCTGCTATATACCTTTCAGCAATTGGCAATTAAGAGGTTGTAGAGTATTCTTTATTTTAGGTTGCTCTCAGAAAGTGCAACACTTGTCGTTGATTTTAATCTAAGATTATTTTGTAGCCAAGTTTGCTATACCAACAACTTTTTTTCTTTTTCTTTTTGTAGAGCGAAGCTTATATTAATTAACAAAATTAAATGGTGCCAGACAATCACCATTATAATTATGTCACATGTTAGGGCTATAGTGGTAAATTATAATTTGGTGAAATCTCGGCCAAATCAAGCAAGCAAGGACCAGAGGCAGAAGGTCTCCTAGATGGGCTGCAGATAAAGGAACAAGAGCTAAGGATGGAAGACAAGTTATATGTTCATGGACAGGCTGGTGGGCAGATATATCTGTTAGGCTAAGCCTGACCTTATTCTCATTCTCACTGAAGGACTGCAGGTCAAGAAACCTGCAGCATTCTTAGTAGCTGGATATACGTTACTAATCCATGTGCATCTAGCAAGTCTACCTAAATACTTATGGTAAGAAGTTGACAGAATAACATAGCTCAGGTTTCTTAAATTCACTCACCACTAGCACTTCATAAATGTTGCAGTAAGCAGATACATATGCCAAAGTAACTAGGTACATAGTCCCTAAAGGTTACTGACTGACAAAAAGATATGGGGAACATTGGCAAGAAGCCGTCAATAAACACATATCTGTAAGTGTGTGTCAAACAGATATTCTACATGCAAATCAACTGAATGTCATACATACATCTGTAGCAAATCAAAGATTCATGCTGTGTAACATCTGGAATAGTTCTGAAAAGTACAGGTGTCTCCCTCCACTTACACAGGGGTTATGTTCTTGGCCCCTGCAGGCATAACTGAAATTGCGTAAAGTGTCCCCTCCCCCTTCCAAACACCCTCTTTGGTGCTCTACTGTATCCAAAAGTATCCACAACTAGAATTGAAGTTATGGGGCTGGCAGGAGGCTGCAGGATGCATGGGAAAGTGGCTGCTGCTGCGCTACCCCACACATCAGCTGTTAGACAAGGAAGCTGAGCAGCCTAAACAAAGCCTCGCTGTGTCTCTAGTCTCTTCTGGGCTTCCTCTGCCCTCATTGCCGTCCTCTTTGGGCTCCAGGGAGGGTCTTCTTGCGAGCCACGTGGACATTTCAGCTCTCTTCTGGCATTTCCAGGTTTGAATTGAATTATTTGTTTCCCAAAACCACACATATACATGGTTGAGTGCAGGTTGATATCACGTAAATGGGGAGGGGAGAGGCCTGTATACAAAACTGAAATATTAATATTCTTATTCTACAGTAGAACCATATCACAAGTATTTAAAATGCATACCTCTACAATACTCAAGGAAGCTTTATTGAAGACATTATATTTCTTTAAATGAAAAAAGCTGTTGCAAGTCCTGGAAGCCTTTTGTAACATTATCTCAAGTTTCTCACAATAAGCAAGTAGATGGAGATGTGATGGCTTCTCCTCTATGTTATTGATACTCTAAAGAATTTGAGTTACTGTGGGTTGTAATGACAAAATATAAAAAATACATTCTGGGTTGTTGCTTTTGCAAAATCACAAAAGACATTATGTGTTTTGCTTGCCACCCACATATACAAGAAAGCGGCAAGAAATGCCTTATATGTTATTTGCTGAAGACATAAGACACCTCTTGCAGTTCCTCATCTGAGACTCAGAGTGCCGCTGTTGACCAACATAGTTCTCACAGTGGAGCTGAAAATCCAGTGATTTGCTGCTTCTGCAATGTGATTGTTCAGTCACACAGAGCTGGGAAACAGCAGAACACAGGGATTTCCAAAGTGTTTTGCTGAGAAACAAAAACCACTGCAAAATACAGAAATCCGGCAGCAACCAGTAGCCTTATTTATCATCCCTCATTGAGCTCTTCTGCATCCTAATGGGAATGTGAAACTCCTCATCAGCTCAACGGATCACAGAAAACAAGGATAAAGCACATATCCCTGCAAGAGGAATGGAAGGTAGGCAGAAGGAAAACAGCAGATCAGTAAGAAGGCAAGTACCTCTCCTCTTACTATTCTCTCTGTGTGGTCAGATTGCCTCAGAGCACATTCATTATTCCATCCCTGAAGAAATGGAAAAGGGATCCATTGTGGGAAACCTGGCCAAAGACCTGAGACTGAATAATGGAGAAATGGGAAATGGCAATCTGCATATCCTTTCCCTAGGTAAAAAGCAATATTTCACTCTCAGTGCAGAAAATGGGAATTTGTATGTAAGGGAGAGGATTGATAGAGAGGAATTATGTGGTCAAACTGCAATCTGCTCCATCAATTTTGAAGTGGTGCTTGACAGCCCTATGAATATTTTTCATATAACTGTAGACATCCAAGACATTAATGATCATGCACCACATTTTGTAAATGGGGATATCAAGCTGGAGATAAGTGAATCCTCTTTAAAAGGCACCACATTTCTCCTTGGACAAGCTGAAGATCCTGATCTTGGGGTGAATTCTCTCCAGAATTACAACCTTAGCACAAATCAGTATTTTATTCTGGAAGTGAGAGAAAGAAAGGATGGAAAGAAATATGCAGAATTAGTATTGAATAAACAGTTGGATCGGGAAAGTGAAGGCAGTTTCCAATTAATCCTTACGGCGCTGGATGGAGGGAAGCCTGCCAGAACTGGAACAGCCAAAATATGGATCACCGTCATTGATGCAAATGACAACCCACCAGTCTTCACTCAAAAAGTATACACGGTCAAGCTGAAAGAAAATGCCCCCAAAGGGTCATCAGTGATCCAGGTGAAAGCCACAGATAGAGATAAAGGTTCTTACGCTCAAATCAGCTATAATTTTAGCAACATCCCTGAAATTGCTCACCAGAAATTCTACTTGGATCCACAAGAAGGGACAATAACACTTAAAGAGGCTCTGGACTTTGAGGAAATAGAAGAATATGCAATGGCAGTGGAAGCAAGAGATGGGGGAGGATTAGTCGCCCAATGCAATGTTGAAATTTCACTCCTAGATGAGAATGACAATGCGCCAGAAGTGATTCTTGCCTCTTTATCCAGCCCCATCCCTGAAGACTCTGCAGTAGGAACCCTGGTAGCCCTTATCAATGTAAATGATAGAGACTCTGGAGATAATGGGAAGATTACTTGTGATATACAACACACTTTGCCATTCAAAATGGTATCAGCCTCCAATAATTATTATAAGCTTCTCACAGATGCCCCCTTGGACAGAGAAAGAACTCCAGAGTACAATATCACAGTCTCAGCCACAGACAAAGGCAACCCCCCTCTTTCCACATGCAAAACCATCACACTGCAGATCTCTGACATCAATGACAACTGCCCTGCCTTTGAGAAACCCTATTATACTGCCTATGTCCCGGAGAACAATCCTTCAGGCTCCTCCATTTTCAGGGTCAAAGCCTCCGACCCAGATGTGGACCAGAATGCTCAAATCACCTACTCCATTCGCAACAGCATCACTGAGGGGCTGCCTCTCTCATCCTTCCTCTCCATTAATTCTGAGACTGGCACTATCTATGCTCAGCGCTCCTTTGACTATGAGCAAGTCAGGGAGTTTCAAGTGGAGGTGAGGGCCGAAGATGGAGGCTCCCCCCGCCTCAGCAGCAATGCCACCGTGAGAGTGTGTATTCTGGACCAGAATGACCAAAGCCCTCAGATTCTTTACCCTTCTCAAGGAGCAGAGGGCTCCTCCTTGTTTGAGATGGTGCCTCGCTCAGCAGAGGAGGGTTATCTAGTGACCAAGGTGGTGGCTGTGGATGCTGACTCTGGACACAACGCTTGGCTCTCCTACTATCTGCTCCAGGCAACAGAACCTGGGCTGTTCTCAATTGGTTCCCATACTGGGGAGATCAGGACCTCACGGGCTTTTCTGGAAAGAGATGCTGTGAAGCAGAAGCTCATCATCTTAGTCAAGGATAATGGGCAGCCACCACTATCCGCTACCGTGAGTCTCAACCTGGTGTTTGCTGAGAACTTCCAGGAGGCACTTCCGGAAATTAGCCACCAGCCCAGTGACTCCGAGTATCAATCGGATCTACAGTTCTTCTTGGTGCTGGCCTTAGCTTTGATTTCATTCTTATTCCTCCTGACAGTGATTCTGGCCATTCTCATGAAGATTCGGCGATCAGGGAACCCCAAATTCCTGCAGTGTTTTGCTCCTGTTCCCCATTCAAACAACACAGTCATTTTCCCACCAAACTATGAAGAAGGAACATTGCCATATTCCTATCAGCTGTGCTTATCTTCTGAGTCCAGGGTACAGGAGTTCACCTTTCCAACACCCAATGTTCAAACCGCAGATAAGTCTAATGTGACTTTGACTGCCAATGGAGGCAATATCCTAAATTCTGAGATGGATAATGCTGATATGGTGAGTTTATTTTCAGCGGTACATGGTTAACATTTTAAGCATTCTCTTTATGTCTATAGGCAACTAGTATATTTTAAGCTGATTTATCTGAGTTTTTTCATATAAACATTCAGTTCACATGAAGATGGGGCAGCTACCCCCTCTGCTTGAACCTCACAGGTGTACTTGAAGCTGAATGTCTGTACAGAATATGCTGTACAGGTGTTCTCAAATAGGCCTTTTCTTTGTCATCAGAAATCTTGCAAATGGAAGGATCTATTGGTATGTGTACAGGCCTATTTGTAGATGTTCAGATCTTCAACTGAAATTGTGGAGATGAGTATGATCTTTCTTCATCCCCTCAACACATTCATCGGATGTGGATGTGGCATAAAGAAAATGCTATGTATGCCATCTAACCTTTATCTAATTTATCATTACTTCATTTTACTGATGAACTTCTGTTCTTCCACTTCATACCTTTAATGAAAAACGTGTTTGATAGAGATAAGGAGTTGGATGAGAGAGAGGGAGGAATGGGAGGGAGAGAGAGAGAGAGAGAGAGAGAGAGAGAGAGAGAGATGTACCTTATACCATCAGAAAGCTGTATATTTTGTTCTGCTTTAGGGCAGTGAAAATTAGAGGGAAGGGTCCCAACTACATGGCTTAATTTTAGAATAAAATGTTTCAGGAAATACCTAAAATGATTCACCAAAGGTAGAACCAGCTTTAATAGTACTTTTATGTTTCTAAAGGTAAAGGTAAAGGGACCCCTGAACATTAAGTCCAGTCACGGACGACTCTGGGGTTGCAGTGCTCATCTCACTTTATTGGCCGAGGGAGCCGGCATACAGCTTCCGGGTCATGAGGCCAGCATGACTAAGCTGCTTCTGGCAAACCAGAGCAGCGCACGGAAACGCCATTTACCTTCCCGCCTATTTATCTACTTGCACTTTGATATGCTTTTGAACTGCTAGTTTCAGGAGCAGGGACCAAGCAATGGGAGCTCACCCCGTCGCGGGGATTCAAACTGCCGCCCTTCTGATCAGGAAGCCCTGGGCTCTGTGGTTTAACCCACAGCACCACCCGCGTCCCTATGTTTCTAGTTCATTTTAAATGTGAAAAGTGCATCACAAACGTTTTAATAGTAACTCAGTATTATTTCCCCTTGCTTCTGAATACCCCCCAAGGTACTTTCTCATATAATCACTATATCTCAGATTGTGATTGGAGAAATAACGGTAGCAAATATGGCTGAGGTTGCATTTGAGGTGTTTAAACAAATGTATTTTGTCAGCCAAATGAGAGCCAGATTAGTACTGCCAACTTGCACACACTTGTCTCACTGCCTATGCCACCCACCACCTGGCTCTTGTTGGGCTTTCTGGAGCAACCACCCCATCACCATGCCTCCCTATGAGGAAGGTGAACTGCCTCACTCTGAGCAAGATAGCCCAGGAATATACCTGCATCACTACTTCTTTTAAACTTTTAACTAAATCTAGTAAAGGTAAAGGGACCCCTGACCATTAGGTCCAGTCGTGACCGACTCTGGGGTTGCGGTGCTCATCTCACTTTACTGGCCGAGGGAGCAGGCGTACAGCTTCTGGGTCATGTGGGCAGCATGACTAAGCCGCTTCTGGCGAAACCAGAGCAGCGCATGGAAACGCCGTTTACCTTCCCGCAGGAGTGGTACCTATTTATCTACTTACACTTTGACGTGCTTTTGAACTGCTAGGTTGGCAGGAACTGGGACCGAGTAACGGGAGCTCACCCCGTCGCGGGGATTCGAACAGCCGACCTTCTGATCGGCAAGTCCTAGGCTCTGTGGTTTAACCCACAGCGCCACCCGTGTCCCTTAACTAAATCTAGAAGATAACAATTAGCCATTGCAGTAAAGCAGAGGCAGTCTATCACTCACTTGGGTCTCCTCCAAGGAAAGACACCCCCACTTCCTTTGAAGCAATGGGTTCTCCTGCTACCTTCTCAAAATCCACCTTACTGCAAACTGGGCCCTCAGAAACCTGGTTTTATTCCTTTCTGGACAAAAGCTTCACAGCAAATTCCAAAATTGATTGGATGTAGGAAGGTGACATCTCTGAACAGCCTTTCCTTTCCTATACCAAGTGTAGCTCTGCACATAGCTGTCAACCTTCCCTTTTTGTGTGGGAAATTCCCTTATTCCAGCGCCGTTTCCCACTGCTTCCCGCTGCTATCCCGGATTGTTAGATATCCCATAGACTGTCCCCGGGACAGGAGAGGCTGCTGATCCCTTATTTTCGGGGCTGCTGATCCCTTATTTTCAAATCTGAAAGTTGACAGCTATGGCTCTGCAGTTCATAGCAGGATGGGGGCAGGTCCAGGTTTTTCCTTTGTGGAGAGCAGTAGTCACTCTTCAGTTAACATGTTTAAAGTTAGTCTCTTGAGTAATGGACCCATATCCTCAGGAGCACCCTATTGAAATGTTGGCTTGATGGCATTGCATTGCCCAAGCTGTGGCCTGTGCAAAATGACTTGAGGTGACCTATTTCCATCAGGAAGGCTTCCAGGAGCTTCCTTGCTTTTGTTGCAAAGTGAACCACACTGAAGCAATTTTTTAAAAATCATAGTCAACATAGGTGTGTCTCCCAGGCTCTTGAACTAGCAGCCTGCAAACAAGCCACCACCACCTAGTACAGCCTTTTCCTGCATAAGGAGAGCAGTAGATAAATGAAATGTTTGAGTGCCATTGAACATCGAAGAGAAGAAGAAAACATTTGAATTTTTGCACTTGTTTCATTGGAACAAATATTTTGATTTGGGGTGGGAAGTCATTTGCCTTCGGATAATATTATTCTGATATCTTAGAAAGGCTATTTGTGTAACACAGAAAGAAGCAGTGGTGAGTGTAAGATTTATGAGTAGGTAAAAATTACTGGAAATGTTTTGAAATTGCATCTGGGATCCAAGTGAAATTGAAGCCATATTGATAAGACATAAGTAAAAATGTGCATGTTATTGTTACGTTTCCGAGCACAATTCAAAGTGTGGTGCTGACCTTTAAAGCCCTAAAGCTTTGGCCCTGCATACCTGAAGTAGCGTCTCCACCCCCATCATTCAGCCGAGACATAGATACAGCTCCAAGGGCCTTCTGGCAGTTCCCTTGCTGCAAGAAATGAAATTACAGGGAACCAGGCAGAAGGCCTTCTCGGTAGTTATGCCCGCCCTGTGGAATGCCCTCCCATCAGATGTCAAGCAAATAAAAAACTTTTAGAAGACATCTGAAGGTAGCCCTGTATAGGGAATGTTTTAATGTTTGATGTCTTACTGTGTTTTAATTTGTTAGAAGTCACCCAGAGTGGCTGGGGCAACCTAGTCAAGTGGGTGGAATAATAATAATACTCTTCTTTCTTCTTCTTTCTTCTTCTACTTTTTTTGGCGATCACTCATAGCTGAGTTAGATTGTCTTCCAAAACATAGTTTTAGCAGTGAGTCCGTAAGTCACTGTGGAGGCCAATTCTGGATCCACACATCCTTCCACAGTGGGGACACAGGTTTCTGGGTGGGAGTTGATCATGGTGAGGGTTTGCCAAGTGTGCCTTCCTCTTAGCTCATTTCTCCTTTTCGTCCTGTGTTCAAGTGTCTTCAAAGCCCATGACACCTTTGGTAAAGGCTGTTCTCCAATTAAAGCACTCACAGGCCAGTGTTTCCTAGTTGTTGGTGTTTATACTACATTTTTAAAGATTTACCTTGAGAGAGTCTTTAAACCTTATTTGTTGAAATAATCATAATCATAATCATAATTCAAAATAAAAAAGTGGGACAATAATGCCTGCATTCTGATTTCTGCTCTGCCAAGCTCAGGATTTTGTTTGGGTGCCAGTTCTTTTTGGACTAACTTGGGTGCCAATTCTTCATACTAAACTAACAGCAATATCACAGTCATTATTTTAGTCCATGAAAACTTGTGCCACATTTGCTTTAAGACACCACAAGACAATTCTGTTTTTATTTTGAAAGTTGTTAACATGGATAAAAGGATGTTGACATGCAGCTGTAATTTGACAACATAAACGGTGGAGGACCAAAAACAACTCTCCTGGATGCTTCCAATTTGTGGTTGTCCTGGACACTCCAAAATATGAACACACCCAGGTTGCTTTTCAATTATAAGTTGAATGAGAAAGAATCCCTTGCAGTTCTCTGTCTGAGCCTCAGGATGTCAGTGTCAGCCAGTGTGGAAGCCACAGAGAAGATGCAGGAGACCCCTGGATAGTTTTCTAGAAAGGGATTGTTTCACCATTTCTGTACAGTAACAGCAGATCACAACAACCAAGCAATCTTGCTGGAAAGGTCAGTAAAAATTTAAGAAGGAACTGATTTACCTAGGCAGAAATCCAGCTTAGTCTTTGTTGTGGAGATTCCTTGTGATCAGATGACAATTTGATCATTACAAGCTGAAAAAAGGAGACAGCTGTTTCTCAGGGATCTGTATGGATAGAAGAAACGAAAACAATGGAATGGCACTCAGAAGGCAAGTACTGCTTCTCTTATTTTTGCCTTTCTCCTGCTGGGCTGCCTCAGAGCAGATTCGTTATTCTATCCTTGAGGAGAAGCCAAAGGGTTCGGTTGTGGGGAATCTTGCTGAGGATTTGGGACTGAATGCCAGAGATCTAGGAAGGCGCAATCTGCATGCTGTCTCTGTGAACAAAATGCAGTATTTCAGTATCAATGCAGAAAATGGAAATCTCTATGTAAATGACAGGATTGACAGAGAGGAAATATGTGGCACAACTCCACTCTGTCTTGTTAATTTTGAGGTGGTAATGGAAAATCCCCTTAATATTTTTCATGTGACTATTACAATTCAAGATATAAATGACAATGCGCCATTCTTTCTCAGTGGCAATATCAACTTAGAAACAAGCGAACTAACTTTGTTAGGAACACGGTTTTTCCTTGGGAAAGCTGAAGATCCTGACATTGGGATGAATGCTCTCCAGAATTACCACCTTAGCTCGAATCAGCATTTTACTCTGGATGTTAAAGAGACTCATGATGGAAATAAATTTGCAGATTTAGTGCTGCAGAAAGCACTAGATCGAGAGACTGAACAGACCCTTCACTTGATTCTCACAGCGTTGGATGGGGGTGAACCTAGAAAAACTGGGACTGCCCAGATATGGATTAATGTCACAGATGCCAATGACAACCCACCTGTTTTCACTCAAGAGGTGTACAAGGTCAGTTTGAGGGAAAGTATTGCAGTTGGATCGCTTGTGCTCCAGGTTACAGCATCTGATAATGATGAAGGTTCATACGCCCAAATCAGGTATTATTTTAGTAATATACCACAGAATGCCAACAAGAAATTCAGTCTAGATCCATTGAATGGCTCAATCCTACTTATAGGGTTATTGGACTTTGAGGATATCAATGAATATACTATATCAGTAGCAGCCAAAGATGGTGGTGGATTAGTGACACATTGCAAAGTTGAAATAAGCGTTCATGATGAGAATGATAATGCCCCAGAGGTTACTTTAGCCTCCATGTTTAGCCCAGTTCCGGAAGATTCTATGTCAGGAACAGTCATTGCTCTGATCAATGTAAATGACAGGGATAGTGGAGATAATGGAAAGGTTACTTGCTACCTACAAGATGATTTACCCTTCAAAGTTCTTCCGTCATCTAACAATTACTTCAAGCTCCAGACAGACAGTCTCCTGGACAGAGAAAGAACTCCTGCATATAATATTACAATCACAGCCACTGATAGAGGAACTCCACCTCTTTCCACACACAAAACAATCTCTCTACAGATCTCAGATATCAATGATAATGCCCCTACATTTCAGAAATCATCCTACAACATCTACGTGCCAGAAAACAATCCTTCAGGTGCCTCCATTTTCACCATCAAAGCTTCTGATCCTGATATGGACCAGAACTCACGGATCACATACTCCATCCTCAACAGCAACATCGAGGAGCTTCCCATCTCCTCCTATATCTCCATTAATTCTGAGACTGGCATCATCTATGCCCAGAGATCCTTTGACTATGAACAATTCAGAGAGTTCCGGCTGCAAGTGAAGGCCCAAGATGGGGGTTCTCCCCCTCTCAGCAGCAATGTGACCGTCAGGGTGTTTGTTCTTGACAGGAATGATAACAGCCCTCGTATCCTGTCCCCTCACAAGAAGCCAAGGGCTCAGCCTTGTTTGAGATGGTGCCTCGTTCGGCCGAGGCAGATTATCTTGTCACCAAGGTGGTGGCCGTGGATGCAGATTCTGGACACAACGCCTGGCTCTCCTACCACCTGACTCAGGCCACTGAGCCGGCACTCTTCACGGTTGGTTCTCATACTGGAGAGATCAGGACAGCCAGGGCCTTTGTGGAGAGAGACGCTGTGAAACAGAGACTGGTCATTATGGTGAAGGATAACGGGCAGCCGTCTCTCTCGGCCACCATGACTCTGAACCTGGTGTTTGCTGAGAACTTTCAGGAGGCCCTTCCGGAAATGAAGAGCCAACCCAGCAGCTCAGAGTATCAGTCTGACCTGCAGTTCTACTTGGTGCTGGCCTTAGCTGTGATCTCCTTCTTGTTCCTCTTGACCGTGATTCTGGCCGTTACAATGAAGCTCCGTCAGTCAGGGCATCCCAGGTTCCTACAGTGCTTTGGTCCTGTTCCTCATTCCAAGAATGGTGCCATCTTCCCACCCAACTTTGAAGATGGGACTTTGCCCTATTCCTACCAGCTGTGTCTGTCTTCTGAGTCCAGGAAGAATGAGTTTACCTTCCTTACACCAAATATACAGATTGCAGACAATATTGTTAGCAGTGAGAAACCTGGTGTTCCTTTTACAGGCCACGGAGAAAATAATTGTCAAGCTGAGATGAATAAAGATGAAGAGGTAAGAATTGTTATCCAGAATTATTTGTGTAAGCCATGGTGTTTTTCAATGAGCAAAATCCAGACAGAATGCCTCCATACTTTTGTGGAAATTGCTATAGTTTGTCTTCTTTTTACTCAGCATTCACACAATACTGTTACAAAATCAGTAACACCTTTTCCACCTTTTCTTAGTGGATGGAAGGCTAACAATTTTTTTTTAGAAAAATAGCACAAGCTCCATGGCAATTCTTCTCTCTCTCTCTCTCTCTCTCTCTCTCTCTCTCTCTCTCTGTGTGTGTACAGGGAAATGGAGATCGTAAATTGGCCTTTATTTGTATCAGTTCTCTCCTTTGTAATTGATGTATATATTATTACTGAGAGCAGAACTCTTTAGTCTCTTTCTCTCTCTCTCTCTCTCTCTCTCTCTCTCTCTCTCTTACACACACACACACAGAGAGAGAGAGAGAGAGCTTGTGGTGACCAGCTGAATTATTCTTGTGTCTCTGAGGTGAAGCTTCAGAAATAAAGTGTATGAGTCATGTGTTTTTAGGACTATGATGATAATATTGGTGAGAAGCAATTTGACTGTCAGTAACCAACTCCTCTCTTTGGAAGAATAATTCTAGAATTTTGTTGTGAAACCATCTAGGCCTGGGGCTTTATGTATTTTTTTTGTTTTTGAGGACAGTCTCTATTTCCACTGGGATGGTAGGACTGTCCAATGAACTCTTGTTCGTCTTCTGTTATGGTTGGAATGGGCAGTCCTGTCAGGTGGTTCTTGATTCCCTGTTGGGGTGGGTTGTGGGAGGTGTATAGGTTGGAGTAGAATTCAGCGAATTCTGACTCCAGTCCTATGCACACTTTATCTAAATGTGCCCCAGACTGAGGTGTGCCTAGATGTCAACATGTCTGTAGGAAGCTAAGGTAAAGGTAAAGGGACCCTTAACCATTACGTCCAGTTGTGGATGACTCTGGGGCTGTGGTGCTCATCTCGCTTTATTGGCCGAAGGAGCCGGCATACAGCTTCCGGGTCATGTGGCCAGCATGACTAAGCCGCTTCTGGTGAACCAGAGCAGCGCACGGAAACGCCGTTTACCTTCCCACCAGAGTGGTATCTACTGGCACTTTTACGTGCTTTCGAACTGCTAGGTTGGCAGGAGCAGGGACCGAGCAACGGGAGCTCACTCCGTCGTGGGGATTCAAACTGCTGACCTTCTGATCAGCAAGCCCTAGGCTCTGTGATTTAACCCACAGCGCCACCCATGGAAAGCTAAGGGCTTTCCCAAATATGAGCATTGCTTTTGTGTCTGCATTAATCTTTCCTCTATATAAGGAGCTATTTAAGAGAATTGTAGAATTGTAGATTTGGAAGGGTCAATTATGAATCCAGCCCAGTGTTCTCAAGCCTGACTAGGAAACGCTGTCCAAGCTCTGTTACTATCTGATGGCTTTTACATATTATTTGTGTGTGGTGCTGGTTTACTTTTAGGATACATGCAAGCAAAGCAGCTTGTAGAATTCTGCATATTAGGGGTGGGGGGAAATGCCAAGGTGATTATTTTATGAACTAAAAAGTTACTATTTGGATGAACTTTAACTGAACTATTTTGTAAAATTACAAACTTCTTTGGACAGGATGAACTAGAACTCCTTCCTTTTAAAAATGAACTGTTGATCCCCCACATAGTATTTGCTTTTTCTAAACATGTAGATTGTCATAGTGGCAGGGTATGATGTCTTGACAATTACTACTTCAATATCGCCCTACTTTATCCAGGACTCCACAGAATTAGATTTCATCCTTGATCCCCCTTTAAAATACTGACAAGTGCAAGTTCATAAGCTGAATAGACAATGGTCAGAATGCTAAACTGTGGAGTTACTAATAGACAAAATTGTTGTAAAGTGGAAAGCTCAGTAAATGGAGTTCCTGATAGACAAACTTGTTGTAAAGTGGAAAGCTCAGTAAATGGATATTTATGAGGTTTTTGAAGACTATGTTCTACTCAGACTACACAAACGGTAAATATTGATAGTAAGTTAGTCATACTTCAATTTCAAGGCAGATGTCAGATTTTAGCTGCAAATTTCTGTGAAGCGCACTTCATCAGTAAATCCAGGTTTTCTACTCTTAACATGTAACTATTCTAGGAACATAAAAAATAAAATTCTAGGCACATGTTTTTTACTACACAAATGGTAACATTTCTCAAGGAGATGAGAAAGTTACAGATTTCAATTTGAAAATGTGGTGAATGCTACAATTCTTTTATTCTCCCCATTTATATCCTACCTGATCTTTCTAAAAAAAGGAAAGAAAATAGGGGGAGGAGGTGGGATAAATTCCACATTAAGTGTGTGTGTGTATAGTGTATTGTTGCTGGTTATTTTCTACTACTACTTTTTAGATGCCAGTGAGTTGTGGCCTATCCTACAGATAAAACACATCAACAAATTTGTAAAGCTATGTTATTTACCCAAATATTCCTGAAAATGGATACACATCAATATGTAAATGACAAAACAAATCTCTTCCATGTTATCTGTGACAAAACTTCTTGCAGTTCCTCATCTGAGACTCAGAGTGCCGCTGTTGTCCAACATAGTTCTCACACTGGAACTGAAAATCCAGTGATTTGCTGCTTCTGCAATGTGATTGCTGGGGAACACACCGAGCTGGGAAACAGCAGAACACAGGGACTTCCAAAGTGTTTTGCTGAGAAACAAAAACCACTGCAAAATACAGAAATTCGGCAGCAACCAGTAGCCTTGTTTTATCATCTTTTATTGAGCACTTCTGCATTCTAATGGGAATGTGAAACTCCTCATCAGCTCAACGGATCACAGAAAACAAGGATAAAGCACATATCCCTGCAAGAGTGATGGAAAATAGGCAGAAGGAAAACAGCAGATCCCTAAGAAGGCAAGTACCTCTCCTCTTATTATTCTCTCTGTGTGGTCAGATTGCCTCAGAGCACATTCATTATTCCATCCCTGAGGAAATGGAAAAGGGATCCATTGTAGGAAACCTAGCCAAAGACCTGAGCCTGAATAATGGAGAAATAGGAAATGATAATCTACGTATCCTTTCCCTAGGTAAAAAGCAATACTTTACTCTCAGTGCAGAAAATGGAAATCTGTATGTAAGGGAGAGGATTGATAGAGAGGAATTATGTGGTCAAACTGCATTCTGCTCCATTAATTTTGAAGTGGTGATTGAGAGTCCTATGAATATTTTTCATATAACTGTAGAAATCCAAGACATTAATGATAATGCACCATATTTTGTAAATGGGGATATCAAGCTGGAGATAAGTGAATCCTCTTTAAAAGGCACCACGTTTCTCCTTGGACAAGCTGAAGATCCTGATCTTGGAGTGAATTCTCTCCAGAATTACCACCTTAGCACAAATCAGTATTTTATCCTGGAAGTGAGAGAAATAGAAGATGGAAAGAAATATGCAGAATTAGTGTTGAATAAACAGTTGGATCGGGAAAGTGAAAGCAGTTTCCAATTAATCCTTATGGCGCTGGATGGAGGGAAGCCTGCCAAAACTGGAACAGCCAAAATATGGATCACCGTCATTGATGCAAATGACAACCCACCAGTCTTCACTCAAAAAGTATACACGGTCAAGCTGAAAGAAAATGCCCCCAAAGGGTCACCAGTGATCCAGGTGAAAGCCACAGATAGTGATGACGGTTCTTATGCTCAGATCAACTATAATTTTAGTAACATCCCTGAAAGTGCTCGTCAAAAGTTCCACTTGGGTTCACAAGATGGGACAATAACACTTAAGGAGGCTCTAGACTTTGAGGAAACAGAAGGATATGTGATGGCAGTAGAAGCAAGAGATGGAGGTGGATTAGCGGCTCACTGTAAAGTTGAAATTTCACTCCTAGATGAGAATGACAATGCGCCAGAAGTGATTCTTGCCTCTTTATCCAGCCCCATCCCTGAAGACTCTGCAGTAGGAACCCTGGTAGCCCTTATCAATGTAAATGATAGAGACTCTGGAGATAATGGGAAGATTACTTGTGATATACAACACGCTTTGCCATTCAAAATGGTATCAGCCTCCAATAATTATTATAAGCTTCTCACAGATGCCCCCTTGGACAGAGAAAGAACTCCAGAGTACAATATCACAGTCACAGCCACAGACAAAGGCAACCCCCCTCTTTCCACATACAAAACCATCACACTGCAGATCTCAGACATCAATGACAACTGCCCTGCCTTTGAGAAACCCTATTATACTGCCTATGTCCCAGAGAACAATCCTTCAGGCTCCTCCATTTTCAGGGTCAAAGCCTCTGACCCAGATGTGGACCAGAATGCTCAAATCACCTACTCCATTCACAACAGCATCACTGAGGGGCTGCCTCTCTCATCCTTCCTCTCCATTAATTCTGAGACTGGCACTATCTATGCTCAGCGCTCCTTTGACTATGAGCAAGTCAGGGAGTTTCAAGTGGAGGTGAGGGCCGAAGATGGAGGCTCCCCCCGCCTCAGCAGCAATGCCACCGTGAGAGTGTGCATTCTGGACCAGAATGACCAAAGCCCTCAGATTCTTTACCCTTCTCAAGGAGCAGAGGGCTCCTCCTTGTTTGAGATGGTGCCTCGCTCAGCAGAGGAGGGTTTTCTGGTGACAAAGGTGGTGGCTGTGGATGCTGACTCTGGACACAATGCTTGGCTCTCCTACTATCTGCTCCAGGCAACAGAACCTGGGCTGTTCTCAATTGGTTCCCATACTGGGGAGATCAGGACCTCACGGGCTTTTCTGGAAAGAGATGCTGTGAAGCAGAAGCTCATCATCTTAGTCAAGGATAATGGGCAGCCACCACTATCCGCTACCGTGAGTCTCAACCTGGTGTTTGCTGAGAACTTCCAGGAGGCACTTCCGGAAATTAGCCACCAGCCCAGTGACTCTGAGTATCAATCTGATCTACAGTTCTTCTTGGTGCTGGCCTTAGCTTTGATCTCCTTCTTATTCCTCCTGACAGTGATTCTGGCCATTCTCATGAAGATTCGGCGGTCAGGGAACCCCAAATTCCTGCAGTGTTTTGCTCCTGTTCCCCATTCAAACAACACGGTCATTTTCCCACCAAACTATGAAGAAGGAACATTGCCATATTCGTATCAGCTGTGCTTATCTTCTGAGTCCAGGGTACAGGAGTTCACCTTTCCAACACCCAATGTTCAAACTTCAGAGAATATTTCATGCAACACTCAGTCTGATGCACCTTTGACTGCCAATGGAGGCAATATCCTAATTTCTGAGATGGATAGAGCTGATATGGTGAGTTGTTTTTTTCAGCAGTACATGGTGAACTGATTCTGCATTCGCTGCATATCTATAGAGTACTAATATATTTTAAGCTCACTCATCTCAGAGTGTTTTCTTTTGAGCAGTATCTGCTACTACACAATTGGTGCAATTTTTTTTATTGAGATTGAATATTTGAAAGTATGTTGTAATAATCAGTTTACTCTTTCATCTCCGTATATACAGGTAATATAGTTTAATTAATCATTTCCTTCCCTCTGATTCCCTTTTGAATATTTGTATATACTTTACCCTCTTTCCCTAATCTTGATCTTCATGAATTCAGCTGAATGTCCCTATAGAACCAACACAATGCTGCAAATGGTGGGGTCTCTTGGCATATGTAAGGGACGAGGTGTGTGCAATTTGTAAGTTTGCAGACTTGCTTCAGACTTTTAGCTGAGGTTTTGGAGATCTTTACTGAAGAATTTTTGTGCTTTGAATGTTACAGAGTAAGAAGTGGGGTCTGGCTTCAGCCAGCTTTTTCCATAATATCTCATTCCTCCTCCTCCCCTGTTTTATATTTTTCTCCTCCAACAGGCATTGAGCATTGTGTTTCTACTGAGCATGCTCTGCTGTCTTTGGTCAGTTTGGGTTTCACCTTCTCTTATTTTTTTGTACTTCTGTAAAACTGGGGGTTCCCTCAAGACTACGGACACACTTGGTCCATCAAGCTCAGTACTGTCCACACTAACTAGCAACAGCTCTCCAGGTCTTCAGACAGAAGACCTTCGCTTTCCTACCTCAGGATTCTGAGGATTGAACTTTGAACCTTTTGAAGGAAAAGCAGATACTCTACCACTGAGCTATGACCTTTCTGCTTTTTGAACTGGAACATCACTAGCCCAAAGCTCACTCCTCGGCCTGTCATGAATGGATGCATTGTGATAGTCACAGACCATAGCAATGTATTGAGAGTAATGAAAGGAAACTTTTAATATAAGGAAAGGCAAAGTGAATTAGCACTTCCATATAAAATCCACATACCCCAAGTTGACATAGGAAATGATACAAAACAATAAGGAAATTAAAATAATCTTAAACATAAAATATATCAGTACAACAAAATTAATCTTACAAGATTAATAATCTAAAGCATTGGACTATAGATTAAAATCCAGTCAGTCAAATAAGTGTAATTATTCCCTTTTCCAACTAATGTCTTCTTTTGTGCCTTATACAGTGGTACCTCAGGTTAAGAACATAATTCATTCCAGAGGTCTGTTCCTAACCTGAAACTGTTCTTAACCTGAAGCACCACTTTAGCTAATGGGGCCTTTCGCTGCCGCCGCGCCGCCGCTGCATGATTTCTGTTCTCATCCTGAAGCAAAGTTCTTAATATTTCTGGGTTAGCGGAGTCTGTAACCTGAAGCGTATGTAACCTGAAGCGTATGTAACCTGAGGTACCACTGTAATTTCTACAGCTGGTATAAATGTGACATGCTTTTTGAAGTTCAGGGGACTCAATCACAGATAAAGACAAACAGATAAAGACAAAAACCAAAGAAAGTTGGGACTGATAGATCTATCTTTGATGAATCAATTATTATCCCCACTATTTACTCATTTTGGGGTACAAATCCAGGGATTAGTTCAGTATTATTTCTTCCGAAATAGTTGTGCAATAGGTGCAATTCTTGATATGTCCTTTATAGCAAATTTGCTTCCCATAGGATCTACATAATTCTCTGTTTAACATGGTGTAGCATATAGATTTTGTATAATATGTGGAATTGTATAATGTAGATACTATTTAGCTCTACTTGGGTCTAGAACACGGGATACCACGCATGGTAACTAGTGTTTGAGAAGGGGAAACCTTTGTAACACACAGTAAGTGAATCTAATATTGCCCATGAAATAATGCCACGGGGATCATTAAATCCTGGAAATGATATGTCAAGAAGGCACACTGATTTGTTCTTATTCATAAAATATAGGTGGGGGGAAACTAATGTGTTCTGGTGTTGGGATGGAGTAGGGAAAGGGGGGAAGGAATGCTGACTGAGGGATACATACCTGTCTTTCAAAGATTTGCTTTAGGATAACGTTGTAACTGCGAGTTGACTTGAATATCACAAGGAGCCACAATGTCAGACCACAATGTCAGAAGTGACGATACAAGTACTCTGGAACAAAACAGATTATCTTGACCCATTTCAATCTGCTTTCAGGCCTCGGTTATGGGTCTGAATTGACCTTTGTCACTGATGGGTGATCTTTACTAGGAGAAGTACAGGGGAAGTATAATCCTGTTAACCTTACCTGATTTCTTTCTCAGTGGCTTGTGACACAATTACCTTTATATCTTTCTGAACTGACTTAATGGGATGGGTACTGGAGACACTGTTTAACAATGGTTCTGGTTCTATTTCCAGAGTTGGTTTCTGAAAACAACCTTGGGTGATTGTCTTTGAGCCCACTGGCAGTTGTGCTGGTGTGTGCCACAGGGTACCATTTTGTCTTCAGTGCTGTTTGACATCTATATATGAAGCCTCTGGAGATAGTCATTGAGCAATCTGGGGCAAGGTGTCATCAGCATGCTGATGATGCTGAGCTCTACTTCTCTGTAACTTCTAAATCAGAAGCAGTTGTGCAAGCCCTGGACTAGTGCCTAGGCTTAGTGTTCAGCTGAATGATGGCCAACAAAACTCTGAATCCTGGCAAGACAGAGGAGCTTTGAGTGGGTCTCCCTGAGGCTGGATAACTGGTCAGTTGTGTGCTTTGGATGGGGTCCTCCTGAAAGAGCAGGTTCATAGTCAGGGGGTGCTACTATATCAATATTGTCACCTGCTAACACCTTTTCTTTCTCAAAGCCAATGTTGTTGTTTTTTAGGAGGAAGGAAGAAACTAACAAGAATAGGAGAGCAAAAGCTCTGGTTTCTAATCAAACACTAAAAAACCCTATCTGTGTTTGTTTTGTTTTCGTTTGACACACTTTGGTTTATGTTTGTGTTCTACAGGACAGCTGAGATCATTGTCAACTCATAGGGTTATTCTGATTTATTTGGGGGGGAAATCCCTTCTAATAAAACTGAAAAAAGCAAGAGATCTGTGATTGGGTAAAATTATCTGTTACATTTTGAGATTATATCTTTGGCATCAAAGCAGAAATCACAGATATCAGTAACAATTGCCCATGTTTCTATCAGGGAAATGCAAAATAAGATCAATGTATATCAGTGCTGGGATATCAGTGCCATAGTTCTAGTTTCCATTCTATGACGCTTAGTCAAATTTCTCTTTTAGTACAAATTATTTCCAGACAACACAGTGCAACAGTCACTGTAGTAAAACCCCTTAAATTAAAAGCCGCTGAAGAGGTAATTCAAAAAGAGAAAGGAAAAAAGAAATGCTGGTGCATTATTTTTGGAAGCAGATCCTTGTATACCAGGAAAGTCGCACTTGGAGAAACATAGAATCATGTCAGAGGAGATTCCCACCCCAATGCCAAGCCCTGCAGGAAAGAGAGAATCCCCAATGTATGACTGTCCAGACTCTGTTTGAAAAACTGCAGCAAAGCAGCTCCATTGCTGAACAGCTCTTAGCACTGGGATGTTTCTCCTTCACATTCCAAAATATAATACCCAAACTGCTGTTCTATTTTCAACTACAGTAAATGAGAACAAAATCCCTTGTAGTTCTCCATCTGAGCCTGAGGGTGTCACTGTTGGCCAGTGTGGCAGCCAGACTGATAAGAGAAAAGATCCACGCATGTGTTTCCTAAGGAGCAATGTTTAATCATTGCTGTGCAAGTTGGACAAGCAGCACATCACAAAGACAGACTAATCCTGCTAGAAAGGAAAAGAAAATTCAGCTACTTTCTGTAAACATTAAGAAGAAAGGCAGCTTATTTTTCCTTATGGTGATCCTGCACCTTAATGGGGCTTTGATCTGATCTGCAAAAGGAAGCAGCTAATTTGTTGTAAAGCCAGATGGACAGAAGACACGAAGACAATGGCAGAGCGTTCAGAAGGCAAGTACTGCTTCTCTTACTTTTGTCACCTTCCTGCTGGGCTGCCTCAGAGCAGATTCGCTATTCCATCCCTGAGGAGATGGCAAAGGGTTCGATTGTGGGGAATATTGCCAAGGATTTGGGACTGAATACAAGAGATCTTGCAAAGCGCAATCTGCATGCTGTCTCTTTGAAGAAAATGCAGTATTTCAGTATAAATGCAGAGAATGGAAACCTCTATGTAAGTGACAGAATAGATAGGGAGCAGCTATGTGACATAACTCCCATTTGCGTAGTAAATTTTGAAGTGGTAGTTGAAAATCCCCTCAATATCTTCCATTTAACTATAGCAATTCAGGACATTAATGATAATGCACCACTGTTTCCCAATGATAACATCAACTTGGAGACAAGTGAACTTACTGTACCAGGCGCACGATTTCTCCTTGGGAAAGCTGAAGATCCTGACATTGGGATGAACTCCCTCCAGAATTACCAGTTGAGCACCAATCAGTACTTCAGTTTGGAAGTTAGAGAAATGGAAGATGGAAGTAAAAATGCAGAATTGGTGCTGCAGAAATCTTTGGATCGGGAAAGTGAGCACTCTCTTCACTTGATCCTTACAGCCTTGGATGGGGGGGAACCCAGAAAAACTGGGACTGCCCAGATATGGATTAATGTCACAGATGCCAATGACAACCCACCTGTTTTCACTCAAGAGGTGTACAAGGTCAGTGTGCATGAAGAAGCTCCTGTTGGGTCCTTTGTGCTCCAAATTGTAGCCTCTGACAAAGATGATGGTTTAAACGCCCAGATCAGATATGAATTCAGCAACATTCCCGTCAATGGACAAAAGAAATTTGGACTAGATCCAGTTGATGGCATAATCTCTCTTCTGCAGATGTTGGATTTTGAAGAAACAAGAAGATATACTATGACAGCAGCAGCAAAGGATGGAGGTGGATTGGTGACACACTGCAACATTGAAATAAATGTTCTTGATGGGAATGATAATGCCCCAGAGGTGACTTTAGCCTCCATGTTCAGCCCTGTTCCTGAAGATTCTCTGCCAGGAACTGTAATTGCTCTGATCAATGTAAATGACAAAGATAGTGGTGATAATGGGAAGGTTACTTGCTATTTACAGGATGATTTACCCTTCAAAATTCTTCCGTCATCTAATAATTACTTCAAACTCCAGACAGACAGTCCTTTGGACAGAGAAATAGCTCCTGCATACAATATTACAATCACAGCCACTGATAAAGGAACTCCACCTCTTTCCACACACAAAACAATCTCACTACAGATCTCAGATATCAATGATAATGCCCCTACATTTCAGAAATCTTCATACAACATCTACGTGCCAGAAAACAATCCTTCAGGTGCCTCCATTTTCACCATCAAAGCCTCTGATTCCGACATGGATCAGAACTCACGGATCACATACTCCATCCTCAACAGCAACATTGAGGAGCTTCCCATCTCCTCCTATATCTCCATTAATTCTGAGACTGGCACCATCTATGCCCAGAGATCCTTTGACTATGAACAATTCAGAGAGTTTCGGGTGCAAGTGAAGGCCCAAGATGGGGGTTCTCCCCCTCTCAGCAGCAATGTGAGCGTCAGGGTGTTTGTTCTTGACAGGAATGATAACAGCCCTCGTATCCTGTCCCCTCACAAGAAGCCAAGGGCTCAGCCTTGTTTGAGATGGTGCCTCGTTCGGCCGAGGCAGATTATCTTGTCACCAAGGTGGTGGCCGTGGATGCAGATTCTGGACACAACGCCTGGCTCTCCTACCACCTGACTCAGGCCACTGAGCCGGCACTCTTCACAGTTGGTTCTCATACTGGAGAGATCAGGACAGCCAGGGCCTTGGTGGAGAGAGACGCTGTGAAACAGAGACTGGTCATTATGGTGAAGGATAACGGGCAGCCGTCTCTCTCGGCCACCATGACTCTGAACCTGGTGTTTGCTGAGAACTTTCAGGAGGCCCTTCCGGAAATGAAGAGCCAACCCAGCAGCTCGGAGTATCAGTCTGACCTGCAGTTCTACTTGGTGCTGGCCTTAGCTGTGATCTCCTTCTTGTTCCTCTTGACTGTCATTCTGGCCGTTACAATGAAGCTCCGCCAATCAGGGCATCCCAGGTTCCTACAGTGCTTTGGTCCTGTTCCCCATTCCAAGAATGGTGCCATCTTCCCACCCAACTTTGAAGATGGGACTTTGCCCTATTCCTACCAGCTGTGTCTGTCTTCTGAGACCAGAAAGAATGAGTTTGCCTTCCTGACACCCAGTGTTCAGATGGTAGACAATATTGTTAGCAGTGAGAAACCTGATGTGCCTTTTGCAGTCAACAGTGGAAACAATTTTCAGTCTGAAAAGGCTAAGGATGAAGAGGTAAGCTTTATGGTTAGGAATTCTTTGTATTGCACCTTTGATACTCTTCCCCACATTTCTGCAGAATTTTTTATTCTATTTTAGCAGTTATGGAATAAGAGGAGATTGGTAAGTGGAGAGTAAGTAGGAATAAAGTGACAATTCTCCTTATGGAGAGATGTAGAAGGTATGATGCTCCAAGAATCAGTACTGAGCTTTTAAACTTGTTCCTAAATGATCTAAAATTAGGAGCGAGCCATGATGTAGCCAAGTTTGCTAATCCCAAATAGTTCAGAGTGGTTAAAACAAGAAGGGGTTGCAAAGAGCTCGCAAAGGATCTCTCCAAACCATACCGAGTGAATGGGCAGTAAATGGCAATTGCAATTTAATGTGAACAAGTGTAAAGTGAGCTAAAAGAACTGTTGTTTCAGTTATATGCTTATGGGGACTAAACAGGAATGAGATCTTGGGGTCATAGCGAACAGTTTGATGAAGATGTTGACATAGCATGAGACAGCTGTGGAAAAAAAAGAAAATAAATTTTTGAATACTGTGTATAGTTCTGGTCAACTTACCTAAAAACAGGTAAGGTGGAGCTGGAAAATATGAACCAAAATTGGCAAGGGGATGGAGCCATTCACCCTTTTAGTTTACTTAGATACAGCTTACAGAAAAGGCAATTAAGTGAAGACATGGTATAGGTGTATATAATTATGCGTTGTATGGAAAGTGTGGATGGATAAGTGCCCCCTTCCACACATAACACTAAAACTAAGACACATCCAATGAAGCTGAATGTTGGAAGATTCAGGACAGACCGCAGAAAATACTTCTTCACACAGCACTGAGTTAAACTGAGGAGTTTGTTCCCATGAGAGGTAGTGATGCCCATTAACCTGGGTGGTTTTAAAAGAGAAATGGACACATTCATGTACAACATTATTTTGTGGCCTGCTAGCAATGGTGTCTAGGTTCTATCTCCATAGTTAGAGATAGTATGTCTCTGAATACCAGTTGTGGGGAATCAGAAGTGAGGAGTGTGCTGTTGCACTCAGGCCCCACGTTTGGGCTTCCTGTAGGCAACCAGTTGACCGCAAGGAAAATAATATTCTGAACTAAATAGGACACTGGCCTGATCCAACATGCTCTTCTGATATTTTTATGTTAATCATGTGCTTCTAATTTATTCTATCTACAGAAGTTCTGTTAGCAAATGAAGAGACTGTGGATTTGTCTGTATTTTATGTCATAGATGTGTTTTGTGCTGAGGCTAAGAGTTTGCGGCTGAATTCAGCCAAGGAGATGTGCCAAATGCAGGAGCTCTGAAATGAATGTGCACGCACAGAAATGTTGAGGATGGGAGTTGTATGTGCACCTGCACACACAATCATATACATATTCATCCCAAACACCTGTGATTTTGGTGAAGACTAAGAGCTGCTCCAAGATAGTTACTTTTCTGTTTAATCTTTCTTCCAGTGTAGAAGGAGCTGCATTATTTTGCTCAGCTCTCTATCCTGAGAAAGCTTTTAAATGAAGGTCCCATTCACTGAACGAAGCAATATGCGCATGCACTGTAAAGGTTCTACTTCTGAGGAACACACACACACTTGAACTATGTCACCATATTGTTCAGAATTTCATCAAAAGAATACAATGCTGATCTGGAAGTTCAGAAAATAAACACGGATCTTCTAGTCCTCCTCTGAGTGTACCAATTTACAATGCAAGGGATTAAAACATATATTGCATGCTTTCCTCTTCTACTCATAATAATGTGTTCACATCGGAGCCAAATCTTCTAGACTACATTTTCCTTCTCTCTACATCATGGGAAGAGTATAGTAAGTGATTTTACAGGACATGTAGGTAGCCATAACAGTGCTAGATGATGCCTTGTCAAGTGCTGCTTTAGTATTCCACAACGTAATCTAGCATTCCACTGTTTAGCATTCTAACCATGATATTTTATTGATGTGACTCTTACCTTTGTACAATAGACCACATTTCAACCATGTAAAATTCAGAGGTTTCAATATCTCCACTTCTATAGATCTGTGACTCCTCCAGCCAGGCAAGCAGCAATATCCTAGTTCAAGGACACATTGCAGCCAGCAAAAGCTCTTGAAGAGGGCAAGGAAGAAGGCCAGTGAGGGGTTGAGGGGTGTGATCTGGGAAGGGAGGGAAGCCTATGGAAAGCCTGAGGGGTGGGGAGAGAGGACTCAAGTTCCCAAGAAAAACTGTAGCATGATCTTGAGTAAGCATTGTACTTTTAGTGCTGTTCTCATTATATGACTGAGTTGCATAAGTCAAGTAATGCCTTAAGAGAAGAAAAAGAACTTGCCAAACATTAGGAATTTCTCCAGGTATCCCAAATCACTCACATCACTGTCAACTAACACAGCTACGTACATGACTGATTAAGTGCATCAACTGGCAAGTAGGTGAGGAGACGATTGCCAGCAAGACAGTTGGTGCAATAGAAAGTAGAACTGTGGTACCTTAGAGGGGAAATTTTGTGTGACACAGAGATTCCAAAGGCCTTAATGCACATTTTGGGAAAATAACTTTTAAACTCAGAATTCATTAGGTCTGAGAACCACTTCCTGTGATTAAATATGTTGACACGTACCTATATGGATGAACAGTCTCTAACTGTCAGAAAAATACGATTACACAACTGTACTATCAGACAGGGACACTAATCAGTCAGTTCAGTTTCTCTGAAGCGCACCCCCATGAGCAATGCCAAATGTGCTAATACGAAAGTGTGAAAGTGTGAAAGTACCGTTGGGGCAAATGACTGGAATAATTTTCAGGACACTTGTATGTTTATTACAAAATAATCAATTTTCTCTGGTATTTTAAGCTATCATTCCTAAGTACTCAGGGGTAATAAGGTAGGGAAAATGACATATATTACTTGGGAAAGGGATAATTTCTAAAATATATGATTTGTTTTCTGTAGGTCAGTTTTGTCTAATTAAGTTGAGTTGTTGCTTATCCTAATTTCAAAACAGAGACCAAACTCTATTTTTTTTTTTACCATACCACAAAAGATTCTCTACCTGAGAATCATTGTACGTAAGATTAAAAATGGCAAGAAATCCCTTATATGTTATTTACTTAAAAGAAAAGACACATCTTGCAGTTCTCCATCTAAGACTCAGAGTGTCACTGTTGGCCAATATAGTTCTCATGGAGGAGTGGAGAATCCACTATCAGATGCTTTTGCAATTTGATTGCTCATGAACTACAGAGCCGGGAAACAGCAGAACACAGGAACAAAACCGCTGCAAAGTATAGAAATCCAGCAGCAGCTACTGACTTCGTTCATGATTCTTTATTGAACACTTCTACAGAGTGAATGGGATTTAATACTACTCAATTTAACTAATCACAGAAAGAAAGGATAAAGCACATTTCTCTGCAAGAGTGATGGCCGGCAGACAGAAAGATAGCAGCAGATCCCTAAGAAGGCAAGTACCTCTCCTCTTATTATTCTCTCTGTGTGGTCAGATTGCCTCAGAGCACATTCATTATTCCATCCCTGAGGAAATGGAAAAGGGATCCATTGTAGGAAACCTGGCCAAAGACCTGAGCCTGAATAATGGAGAAATAGGAAATTACAATCTGCATATCCTTTCCCTAGGTAAAAAGCAATACTTTACTCTCAGTGCAGAAAATGGAAATCTGTATGTAAGGGAAAGGATTGATAGAGAAGAATTATGTGGTCAAACTGCATTCTGCTCCATCAATTTTGAAGTGGTGGTTGAGAGTCCTATGAATATTTTTCATGTAACTGTAGAGATTCAAGACATTAATGATCATGCACCACGTTTTGTAAATGGGGATATCAAGCTGGAGACAAGTGAATCCTCTTTACAAGGCACCACATTTCTCCTTGGACAAGCTGAAGATCCTGATCTTGGGGTGAATTCTCTCCAGGATTACAACCTTAGCACAAATCCATACTTTATTCTGGAAGTGAGAGAAATGGAAGGCGGAAATAAATATGCAGAATTAGTATTGAATAAACAGTTGGATCGGGAAAGTGAAAGCAGTTTCCAATTAATCCTAACAGCTCTGGATGGAGGGAAGCCTTCCAAAACTGGAACAGCCAAAATATGGATCACCGTCATTGATGCAAATGACAACCCACCAGTCTTCACTCAAAAAGTATACACAGTCAAGCTGAAAGAAAATGCCCCCAAAGGGTCATCAGTGGTCCAGGTGAAAGCCACAGATAGAGATGATGGTTCAAATGCCCAGATAAACTATAGTTTTAGTAACATCCCAGAAAGTGCTCGTCAAAAGTTCCACTTAGGTTCACAAGATGGAACAATTATAGTTAAGGAGGTTCTGGACTTTGAGGAAACAGAAGGATATGTAATGGCAGTGGAAGCAAGAGATGGAGGTGGATTAGTGGCTCACTGTAAAGTTCAAATAACACTCCTAGATGAGAATGACAATGCCCCAGAAGTGATTCTGGCCTCTTTATCCAGCCCCATCCCTGAAGACTCTGCAGTAGGAACCCTGGTAGCCCTTATCAATGTAAATGATAGAGACTCTGGAGATAATGGGAAGATTACTTGTGATATACAACACGCTTTGCCATTCAAAATGGTATCAGCCTCCAATAATTATTATAAGCTTCTCACAGATGCCCCCTTGGACAGAGAAAGAACTCCAGAGTACAATATCACAGTCACAGCCACAGACAAAGGCAACCCCCCTCTTTCCACATACAAAACCATCACACTGCAGATCTCAGACATCAATGACAACTGCCCTGCCTTTGAGAAACCCTATTATACTGCCTACGTCCCAGAGAACAATCCTTCAGGCTCCTCCATTTTCAGGGTCAAAGCCTCCGACCCAGATGTGGACCAGAATGCTCAAATCACCTACTCCATTCGCAACAGCATCACTGAGGGGCTGCCTCTCTCATCCTTCCTCTCCATTAATTCTGAGACTGGCACTATCTATGCTCAGCGCTCCTTTGACTATGAGCAAGTCAGGGAGTTTCAAGTGGAGGTGAGGGCCGAAGATGGAGGCTCCCCCCGCCTCAGCAGCAATGCCACCGTGAGAGTGTGTATTCTGGACCAGAATGACCAAAGCCCTCAGATTCTTTACCCTTCTCAAGGAGCAGAGGGCTCCTCCTTGTTTGAGATGGTGCCTCGCTCAGCAGAGGAGGGTTATCTAGTGACAAAGGTGGTGGCTGTGGATGCTGACTCTGGACACAACGCTTGGCTCTCCTACTATCTGCTCCAGGCAACAGAACCTGGGCTGTTCTCAATTGGTTCCCATACTGGGGAGATCAGGACCTCACGGGCTTTTCTGGAAAGAGATGCTGTGAAGCAGAAGCTCATCATCTTAGTCAAGGATAATGGGCAGCCACCACTATCCGCTACCGTGAGTCTCAACCTGGTGTTTGCTGAGAACTTCCAGGAGGCACTTCCGGAAATTAGCCACCAGCCCAGTGACTCAGAGTATCAATCGGATCTACAGTTCTTCTTGGTGCTGGCCTTAGCTTTGATTTCATTCTTATTCCTCCTGACAGTGATTCTGGCGGTTCTCATGAAGATTCGGCGATCAGGGAACCCCAAATTCCTGCAGTGTTTTGCTCCTGTTCCCCATTCAAACAACACAGTCATTTTCCCACCAAACTATGAAGAAGGAACATTGCCGTATTCCTATCAGCTATGTTTATCTTCTGAGTCCAGGGTACAGGAGTTCACCTTTCCAACACCCAATGTTCAAACCGCAGAGAATATTTCAAGCAACACTGATGCACCTTTGACTGCCAATGGAGGCAATATCCTAATTTCTGAGATGGATAGAACTGATATGGTGAGTTTTAATCTGAGCAGTATCTACATTATACATTCTTGCTGCTTAGAGAAAGGAAATTTTTATGAATCTTTGTTGCTGATTCCGTAATCTTTTTTTATACAACTAATATATTTTAATTTATTGTTTTTCAACCTACCTTTAACCAACTAATTGGTTCAACTTGATTGAGTATTCTTTCAAGTCTGATTGGTTCATAAACTGTTGGAATTGGTTCTTTTAATGATTATATAATATATATATATATCATTTTACTGGAAAATATCTATGTGTTCTGTTTTTGTGTGTTTATGAAAATGTGTTGAGTGGAGGAGACATTTTCCAGGAGTAATCAGGCCAAGGTGTTTTCCTGTGGTTCTTTGGGGCAAAATAAAATGAAAGGGGCTTTGGTAATCTTAAAATTATGAACATGTGGGGCCTTAGAATGAAATCGCTAATTGGATGTTATGAAAGAGAAAACATCTGATATATTTCTCCCATAGTATCAGTAATTTCCAGAGAGTACTTCAAGTATTTAGAACGTGTTCACATACATTATCTTAGTCTGTAGTCTGAAATGTATTTAGTTTTAAGCATTTTTATCTGCCTTTCAACTGCAAGAGCAAGCCTGTCAAGTATGGTCCCAAGTTTTGTCAGAGGCTGCAAGTCAGAGTTCTAAAGCTGCCTAGTAAATTTGTAACTGAAGAACTAGGAATCTCACAGCTCACACTTCAGCCCCTATATGAATTCTAGTGTATCTTAATTTGGATAGCCATTGGCAAAACCAATTTAGAAAGGACAGGAAAGAATAATTTAAATTAAGAAAAATGTAAAAGTAAAGTAGGGCTACCAACACAAAGGTATATACATCCCATGTCCAGAGAGAACACAATAGTGCAAAACTATTTGCTGTTTTGAAAAGCCTCTGCCTGGTTATTTTATTTATGATTTATGGCTATGCCCTCAAAGCAGCTTGCAATTTAAAAGTCTAAAAATGCAAAAAAAGAGCCCTCAGTGAAATCATATGAATCAGTTCATTAAGATAACAGTAATACTGATAATGTTGTTGATGGTGATGATGATATTACTTAAATAACGAAGTACAGCAAAAGCAGAACCACTGCTGTTTCACCTGTCCATAATATTCTTAATAGCTTCTGACATCAGACAATAACGTCCACATCCTATATGCAGTATCCACACATTACAAATGAACAAAATGAAAGTGAACAAAATAGATGAATACATGGAAGTTTGTCATATAAAATCTTGACTATAGATTACAGAAACTGAAAGAAACCAAAAACCTTCAATGCGGTAAAACAGTATAATAATTCTCTTTTCTAAGCAATGGCTTCATTTCTTCCTGAAATTAGTTTGAGTCTTATACTTTTTGCAGTGGCTCCTCTCTTGGAACTGTGGATCCCAGAATGAAAGTGCAAGACACATAAATGGGATAAACTAAAGCCACAACATTGTTAGCGACTGATCTGTGTCTTCTGTCCCTACTTAGTTGTCTTACCTTCTGCACCTCCAGTGAGGAGTTCTCTTCCACTTAGATGAGACTTTAAGAAACCATCTCCTGCTGCCTCCCTTTGACCTGAAGAGCAAGAGTATAATATGTGTTCTTGGCTTTTTATTGCCCTTATATATTAATATTTTGTTGTTAGTGTCGCCCACCTCTAGGCCAGACAGCAGGCTAGCACATGCAACCAGGCCTCAAGATACTCTCAGTCCCAGATCTCCTTTAATCAGTGACCCTTCAATGAATGGTTTGGGGAAACGTCTTTTCACTACCTTGATTTCTCAGTGTGTTCACCAGCCTACTCTCTGCACTCTGCCCTGATCTTGCCTGTTCTACCACCTAGTTAGGACCTAAGTACCTTGACAAAGCCAGATTGTTAACTTGCCACTCCCAACTTGGCAGTAGATAAAAATTGTCCTGTCAGAGAGCCTTGGTAATAATAATAATAATAATAATAATAATAATAATATTGATCCTACATAGCCCCAGCAGGGACCGATCATGCCTGTAATATCTTCAGAAAGAGTGGGAGAGCACAAGTGCTGCCAGCTGCATAGGGATTCCCTTCATTGGCTGGGATGGGACATCTTTGGAGTCCTTTTGGAGAATTCTTCTCCCTCTCTCGTCAAGCCTTTCTCCTAAGGAAGGAGTGGGAAAGTTCTGCAAGAGATCTGTGGTTGGGGGGAAATTGTTTTTATGTTTTGACATTATCATGGAAATATAGTAAACTTCCCAAGATTTTTTTAAGTGGAAACAGGAGATTAAATATATGTATATAACCTGAGATGACAATGTTGAGACTGTTGAGATTCCAATGTTGAGACTGTTGAGATTCTGGCGCTCAGGATTGTAACTTTGATAATATTATTTCCAAGATTCCAAGAAAAGAATCCTTTGTTACATTGCAAGCCATTTACCCAGGCAAATGGAAAGGTTTGAAGTGTTATTGATTCTAAAACCAAAACAAAGATTCCCAAATATTCAGCTCAAGTCAAAATTCAGTAGAAATAGCTCCTGTGTAAACTTCAAGTTGCATGTTTTTCCTACTGTATAAAACTTTAATTACATCCACGTTGCATTTTCTCTTAAATTGAAAGGTTGAAAACATCCCTTGCAGTTCTCCTGCTGAACCTCACAGTGCCGCTGTTGGCCAATCTAGTAGCCATACAGTGATGGAAATCCATTGATCCTTTCTACAGTGAGCTTACTTCTTTAGTGCTGTGCAGATCGGGGAACAGAGAGAAGGCATTGCTGCTCACATAAAGAAAATACAAAAATGATTTTTACAAATTAAAGAGAAAGACAGTTTATTCTTTTTTATGGAGACTTAGTGCATACTGGTGAAAATTTGATCTGGTTCTTAAAAAAAGGAAACAGCTGATTTTTCACAGAGCCAAATGGAGAGAAGACACAAGAAGAATGGCAGGGCACTCACCAGGCAAGTACAGCTTCTCTTAATATTCTTGCCCTCCTGCTGGGCTGCTTCAGAGCAGATTCATTATTCAGTTCCTGAGGAAATGGCTAAGGGTTCAGTTGTGGGGAATATTGCCAAGGATTTGGGACTAAATGCCAAAGAACTAGGGAAACGCAACATGCATGCTGTCTCAGTGGATGAAATGAAATATTTCACTATGAATGCAGAGAATGGAAACCTCTATGTAAATGACAGGATAGACAGGGAGGGAATATGTGGCAAAAATCCGCTTTGCTTTATTAATTTTGAGATGGTAATTGAAAGCCCCTTGAATATTTTCCACATAACAATAGCAATCCAGGACATTAATGATAATGCACCACAGTTTTTCAATGGAAAAATCAACTTGGAGACAAGTGAACTTACTGTACCAGGCACACGATTTCTCCTCGGAGAAGCTGAAGATCCTGACATTGGGACAAATTCTCTTCAGAATTACCATCTCAGCCCCAATCCATATTTCAGCCTTGATGTTAAAGAGAGTCAGGATGGAAATAAATTTGCAGACTTGGTGCTTCAGAAACCACTAGATCGGGAAAGTGAACAGACCATTCACTTGATCCTCACAGCCTTGGATGGGGGTGAACCTAGGAAGACTGGAACTGCCCAGATATGGATTAATGTCACAGATGCCAATGACAACCCACCTATCTTCACCCAAGAGGTTTACAAGGTCAGTCTGAAGGAAAATGCTCCTGTTGGCTCCCTTGTGCTCCAGATTTTAGCCTCTGATAAAGATGAAGGTACAAATGCCAAAATCAGTTACCATTTCAGCAACATCCAAAAAAGTGCTCAGGGGAAATTCAACTTGCATTCTAGTAATGGCACAATCACTCTTATGAGCCCATTAGACTTTGAGGAAACCAGAGAATATACTATGACAGTTGCGGCAAAAGATGGAGGTGGATTAGTAACACACTGTAAAGTAGAAATACAGATTATTGATGAGAATGACAATTTCCCAGAGGTAACTCTGGTTTCCTTATTTAGTCCAGTCCCAGAAGATTCTGTGTCTGGAACCTTAATTGCTCTGATCAATGTAAAAGACAAAGACACTGGTGAGAATGGAAAGGTTAGTTGTTATTTGAAAAACGATCAGCCCTTCAAGATTGTTCCCTCGTCTAACAATTACTTCAAACTCCTGACAGACAGCCCTTTGGACAGAGAAAAAACTCCTGCATATAATATTACAATCACAGCCACTGACAATGGAACTCCCCCACTGAACACCCATAAAGTCATCTTACTACAGATATCTGATATCAATGATAATGCCCCTTCCTTTGAGAAATCTTTCTATGCTATCTATGTGCCAGAAAACAATCCTTCAGGTGCCTCCATTTTCACCATCAAAGCCTCTGATCCCGATGTGGACCAGAACTCACGGATCACATACTCCATCCTCAACAGCAACATTGAGGAGCTTCCCATCTCCTCCTATATCTCCATTAATTCAGAGACTGGCACCATCTATGCCCAGAGATCCTTTGACTATGAACAATTCAGAGAGTTCCGGCTGCAAGTGAAGGCCCAAGATGGGGGTTCTCCCCCTCTCAGCAGCAATGTGACTATCAGGGTGCTTGTTCTTGACAGGAATGATAACAGCCCTCGTATCCTGTCCCCCTCACAAGAAGCCAAGGGCTCAGCCTTGTTTGAGATGGTGCCTCGTTCGGCCGAGGCAGATTATCTTGTCACCAAGGTGGTGGCCGTGGATGCAGATTCTGGACACAACGCCTGGCTCTCCTACCACCTGACTCAGGCCACTGAGCCGGCACTCTTCACGGTTGGTTCTCATACTGGAGAGATCAGGACAGCCAGGGCCTTTGTGGAGAGAGACGCTGTGAAACAGAGACTGGTCATTATGGTGAAGGATAACGGGCAGCCGTCTCTCTCGGCCACCATGACTCTGAACCTGGTGTTTGCTGAGAACTTTCAGGAGGCCCTTCCGGAAATGAAGAGCCAACCCAGCAGCTCGGAGTATCAGTCTGACCTGCAGTTCTACTTGGTGCTGGCCTTAGCTGTGATCTCCTTCTTGTTCCTCTTGACTGTGATTCTGGCCATTACAATGAAGCTCCGTCAGTCAGGGCATCCCAGGTTCCTACAGTGCTTTGGTCCTGTTCCCCATTCCAAGAATGGTGCCATCTTCCCACCCAACTTTGAAGATGGGACTTTGCCCTATTCCTACCAGCTGTGTCTGTCTTCTGAGACCAGGAAGAATGAGTTTGCCTTCCTGACACCCAATGTTCAGATGGTAGACAATATTGTTAGCAGTGAGAAACCTAGTGTTCCTTTTACAGGCAATGAAGGAAACAATTTACATCCTGAGATGGTGAATATTGACAAGGTAAAAAATATTTTCATTGCACATCTCATAAACATTTTTATTGTATTGTGCATATTTATGCATATATGGGCCCCTCTGACTTAAGTGGGCCTTTTTGCAGTCACTTACTGAGATTTCAGTCTGACATATCTGTGACTCAAGTCTCATCTGTCAGCAATTATGAACACTTTCCTGAAAAATAGGCACACCTAACACTGTGTTATGTCTCTTTTATATCATGAAAACTTACCACTTACTTTGTGGCTTTCAACTTTTCACTAGCCTTCACCTTTTTTGTTAGTAAAGTGCAATGTGTCTCAAGTAGTTATGAAATTCTGTAGTTTGGCAAGTTCTTTTTAATAAGAGAAAAACTCATGTGTTGCATTTTCCCCCTTTAAGATGTGTTCAGTGATTTTCAGGTTTCTTCTGTACTCCGTGTTTCAATCTCTGATTTAGAGTTCTTTATTCCTTTCTGTAGAAAGACAATGACTCTTCTCCTTTCTAAAAATTCTATATGGTGTTTCCTGCTTGGCAGGGGGTTGGACTCGATGGCCCTTGTGGTCTCTTCCAACTCTATGATTCTATGATTCTATGATTCTAAAACCACAAGCTTAAATAGTGTTGTTTCCCCCTTCCAGCCTATTTACATATTAAGCCTCCTCTACTTCCTCTCTCTCCATCCTCACTGCTTTCCAGAACTTTGAAGTTGTGTCACTCACAGCCCTGATATTACTTCTCTCCCACTTTGCTGTTTTGTGTTCCTTCCTCGCTATGGTAAAGGTTACCAACTGCTTTTCTCAGTAGACTGCTGAGAATCCCAGTAATAAGGCTGTTGGTAACCTTGCTGGCTATACAGTGGTGAGGGTATAGCCAGCAGTCCCAGCACCAGGCCACATTTAACCGTTGCCACGGACAATCCAATTATTTTTTTAAAATGTTGACAATGTGTAAACCAAGAAAATCTTTAATAAAAATACATTTTAAAAAAATGTTGACAGTGACCCATTTGCAATATCTCAGTGAACCATTTGTAATATTAAACCTCCATCTGGAAGCACCCCAAGGCTCCAATTCTGTACATACCCTCCCAGGAGTAAGTCCCTCGGGTTAACTCCAGGTAAACATTCATTTGGATCATGCTGTTAATGATGTTAAAACTATGAAGAGGACACATAAAATGGCCTTTGAACGATTGTTCTAACTATAGATGTTCAAATGGAACAGTCCAGGTTGCAATACAATTCAACATGTTAATATTCCCTTCTAGTCAAAGAAAGCTACAATGCATGCTTTCTCAGATGCATGCTCCAAACTCCCTTAGGCTGTAAACCTTTTGCTTATCAATATTTTTATGCTTAGAGACTTTTTGCAGATGTCCTCCGGCACTCATTGGTGAAACTGATGTCTTGTGTTATACTATTTACGAACAATTTGCAAACATTCTTAAATTTAGTGGTTAGTTGGATATGTTTCAGAGTCAGATGCCTTTAGAGCTCATGCATTCAGAAGACATTCAGAAGTTCTTCCCTTGGTGCATTAGACTAGAACGGACAAATGAAGGTTGAAATAAATTGCAGTTCCTCTCTTGCTGCTTCCTTTATCATGTGATGCCACCTGGAGACCAATGCATAGATGAGAGTGCTTTGACGAAGCATGTGATCTGCATAGAATTGTTGTTGATACACCATCAGGGTACATGGTACTCTACAGAGGTGCCCAATATCTGCGAAACCACTTTCTTCCATATCAGTCTGCCCATGCTTTAGCAGATGAGGCCCTCTTGGTGGTCTCTAAACAGGATGGTGCAAGTTCCAGGGGAGGGCAGTGTCAGTGGTGGCTCCTCACATATGAAACTCCCTCCCTTCTAAGGTGCATCTAGTCCCATATTTATATAATTTTAGGTGGCTAGTTAAGGCAAACTTTTTTCAGGTGATGTTTGGAGAAGGAGAGACTTGATTAGAAAAAAAGTGTTTAGTTTGCTGTTGCTGTTGCTATTAGGAAATTGCTATTTAGTTGAATTGTTATGAGTTGCTGTGTTTTCCATTTAAAAATTTGTGCTAGTCTATGGATTTTATATATTGATTGTATTTTATTTTATTTGATCTGATTGTAAACCTGTGGCTTGAAGAGTAGTGTATAAATCAAGTAGATAAATAAGCAAGAAATAGACAAATCTCTTCCTCCAAGGAGCAAGTCGTCTGACGTGCACAAGGGGTGGGGAATGGAATGATTAAAGATGAATGGTAATAAACACATTTTTACATGTGCTTAATTACCATGTTACTCTATCAAACTTTTGAATCCACGAATATGTATCCATGCATAGTTTCTGGAGCCTGGAAAGTAAGTGCCTTAAAATGTGAATTATAACAAAATTCTGTACCTGTCATCTTGTATAGTCATATAATTTTATCATTTATATTCACACTTCTGTGATCACACATATGCAAGTTTCAACATTGTACTGAGGTGTTCATTTCTGGAGTGATCCAGCTCTCTGTTTGTTCAAACTGAAGGTAGGACATAGAGGCTTCCATGGATCTTTGCCAGGAGCAATATTATCTGGGGACCACATCTGTATGAGGACAGCACTATGGGCATGTCAAGTGTCAAGATGCATGGTGTGGTTAAAGGAGGGTCTTTTCTAGAGCATTCAGCACTGCAAACACCATCTGGCACAGACACTCGGAATGCTTACTGACAGTCAGTTTGCCTGGGCCAGGAAGAGCAACCTGCAAGGATAGAGTGACTGATGAATGAGATGGGCGGGCAAGGTGGGTCTCCAAAGCTCATACAAAAACAAGTTTTGTATATGTAGAGGTCTCAGACTGTGAATCCAACTAGAGTCCAATTCTCATGGCACACTCACTCCCATGAATCAGGTGGCAATGGTTATGATCTGGTGCTGAGGTCTTTCTGCTGCTTTCAGTATTTTAAATGAAGTTACATAACTATTTCAGCTATGTTCCTAGAACTGTGCAGCTAGAATATAAATGTTAATAGTATTGCAGTTTTGTCAGCCTGGATAGCTCAGTTGGTTAGAGTATGATGCTGATGATGCCAAGGCTGTAGGTTCTATTCCTGTATGGGACAGCTGCATATTCCTGCATTGCAGGGGATTGGACTATACAATCCTCAGGGTCCCTTCCAACTCTACAATTCTACGTCACAACAGTATTTGAGGATACACTGACAAACAGTTCAAACTTTGGCCAAACTGTTATTTAGCACTCATTCATGCCATTATGTATTCACCTTAAACCCAGGCCAACATTTTAGTGACAAATGATGACAAAGTTAACTATTTTTAAAGGTCTCTGTTTTATTCCTCTCTCTGTATTTTGTACCCTGTAAGTGGCATGCATAAAATGAATTAGAAAAATAACCACCAGTGCGGTTTTACAAGTGTTTGTGCAAGCGTTTAGAGAAGAGTTTGGAGTAAGTAGCAAGGACTTTTTTAGTCCTCTGTTGTAAGTGGTCCCAGGGGACCTGGGATTCTGCAGACCTTCGCCTTTGAGCAGAGGAGGTTATCTAACAGCAGAGAGGAAGCTCCACTGGAGAGGTCATTCCTTGACCAGTGACAGAACACTCCGTTGCCATGGCTGTATTGCAGGCAGTGCTCTATGGGTGGAAGAGGCAAGAAGGGGGTGCTCTAGGGAGGCTTTAGAGTCCCTTGTTTCCCAGACCTACTCAAGGATGGAATAGGTGGGAAACTACACCAGCCCTGGAGTTATTTTCCTTCCCTGTGGAACCATATTTTTTTTACAAGAAAGAAAATGGGGAAAGTAAAAAAAGCCACCTTCTATCTTGTGCCCTATTCATCACTTGGTTCCTCTGCTACAATTATCTCTGCCATCCATCCTGCCTGTCCAACCTCCATAGGATTGCTCTGTTAGTTGCTCACATTTTCATTAAAAATAGTAATATCGCTGAATTTTATTAAATGTATTGTTTTACAGAGGAGGGCTGGACATAGAAGTTGCATTAATTGGCTACAAAATGTTGTTGAGTGCTAACAATCTCTTCCATCAGTTATCTGTGGAAGTACAGAGGGAAGATGGAAAATTTGAGGGATGGGGAGGTTGTTGCATCTCTAAAGCACTTGAAATATATTTCCATTTCCTGCTACTGTAAAAGCAAAACACCAGAAAGTAGTTACAAACCAAGAAAACCTTCTCATACTGCATTTGAAAATAGATTGCTCTTGTATTCTACATCTAAGCACTAGAGGAAGGGGGGGAAGCAGCACATGAAGTTCTCCATCTCAGACTCAGAGTGTCGCTGTTGGCTAATGTGCTGCATCTCATGGTGCTTCATGGAATCTGCTAAGCGATGCTTCCTGCAGTGCCATTGTTCAGCCACAGACTGCAGAACTGGGAGATAGTAGAACACAGGGACGTTAAAACACTTTTGCTAAGGAAATAAAACCCACTGCAACATATAGAAAGGGACAGTGACTGCTTTTATACTTCCTTGTTGTGGATTTTTGGGTCTTGATGGGAACTTGAGAATCTCCATCTAATGAAAATATGCAAGAAAAGAATAAAGCAATTGTCTCACCAAATCAGATGGACAACAGGCACAAAGAGAAAAATGGGTCGGTAAAAAGGCAAGTACCACTCCTCTTGTTATTGTCCTTGTTGTGCCAGGCTGCCTCAGAGCACGTTCAGTATTCTATCGCTGAGGAAATGGAAAAAGGCTCCATTGTAGGAAATCTTGCCAAAGATTTGGAGCTGAATGCTGGAGAAATAGCAAATCGCAATCTGCATATCCTTTCCCTAGGTAAAAAGCAATATTTCTCTCTCAGTGCAGAAAATGGGAATCTATATGTAAATGACAGGATAGACAGAGAAGGAATATGTGGGAGCAATGCATATTGCCTCATTAGTTTTGAAGTGATGGTTGAAAATCCTATGAATATTTTTCATGTTACTGTACAGATCCAGGATATCAATGATAACGCACCACATTTTGTGAATGAGAATATCAAACTAGAGACAAGTGAACTCACTTTGCCAGGAGCCCGATTTGTGCTTGGGTTTGCTGAAGATCCAGATGTTGGAATAAATTCTCTCCAGAATTACCACCTTATGCCCAATCAGTATTTCATAGTAGAAGCTAGAGAGAGAGAAGATGGGAAGAAATATGCAGAATTAGTACTGAACAAACAGTTGGATCGAGAAAGTGAAAGCAGTTTCCATTTAATTCTTATGGCTCTGGATGGAGGGAAACCTGCCAAAACTGGTACAGCCAAAATATGGATCAGTGTCATTGATGTAAATGATAATTCACCAATCTTCACACAAGAAGTGTACAAGGTCTGTCTTAAAGAGAATACCCCAAAAGGATCTTCAGTAATACAAGTGAAAGCCACAGATAGAGATGAAGGCTCAAATGGTCATATCACGTATAGTTTTAGCAACATCCCTGAAAACACTCACAAAAAATTCTTCCTAAATCCCCAGAATGGGACAATTACAGTTAAGGAGTTGTTGGACTACGAAGAAGCAGAGAAATATGCAATGACAGTAGAAGCAAGAGACGGAGGTGGATTAGTGACTCATTGCAGTGTTGAAATAAAGTTATTAGATGAGAATGACAATGCCCCAGAAGTGATCCTGGCTTCCTTATCCAGCCCAATTCCTGAAGATTCTGCAATAGGAACCCTGGTAGCCCTTATCAATGTAAACGATAAAGATTCTGGAGACAATGGGAACATTACTTGTCATTTACAAAGACATTGGCAATTTAGAATAATTGCTACATCCAATAACTTCTATAAGTTGGTTACAGATGCCCCCTTGGACAGAGAAAGCACTCCAGAATACAATATCACAATTATAGCCACAGACAAAGGTGCACCACCTCTTTCCACCCACAGAACCATCTCCCTGCAGATTTCAGATATCAATGATAACCCCCCAGCTTTTGAAAAATCTTCCTATGTCACCTATTTGTCAGAGAACAATCCAGCTGGAACTTCCATTTTCCGTGTAAAGGCTACAGATGCAGATCTAGAGTACAACTCGCAAATCACTTATTCTCTGCTCAATAGTAATATGGAGAACCTGCCTCTGTCCTCTTATATCTCCATTAACTCAGAAAATGGCATGATCTATGCCCAACGCTCCTTTGACTATGAGCAAATCAGGGAGTTTCAGTTCCAAGTGAAAGCACAAGATGGTGGCTCCCCACCACTCAGCAGAAACACCACAGTGAAAGTGTTCATTGTGGATCAGAATGATAACAATCCTCAAATCCTCTACCCTTCACAGGAAGTCAAGGGTTCATCCTTGTTTGAGATGGTGCCTCGCTCAGCAGAAGAAGATTATCTGGTGACCAAGGTAGTGGCAGTAGATGCTGATTCTGGACATAACGCCTGGCTCTCTTACCACCTGCTTCAGGCTACAGAGCCAGCATTGTTCAGAATTGGGTCCCACACTGGGGAGATCAAGACCTCACGGGCTTTTCTGGAAAGAGATGCTGTGAAGCAGAAGCTCATCATCTTAGTCAAGGATAATGGGCAGCCACCACTATCTGCTACTGTGAGTCTCAACCTGGTGTTTGCTGAGAACTTCCAGGAGGCACTCCCAGAAGTGAGCAGTGAAAGTATTGATTCACATAATCAATCTGACCTACAGTTTTATTTAGTACTGACTTTAGCTGTGATTTCATTCTTATTTCTCCTTACGGTGATTCTGGCAGTTGTTACGAAGCTTCGCACATCAAGCAGTCCTCAGTTCCTTCAGTGCTTTGGTCCTACTCCTTTTTCAAAGGCTGGTACCGTATTCCCACCGAATTTTGAAGAAGGGACTTTGCCCTACACCTACCAGCTCTGTCTGTCCTCAGAGACCAGGAAAAATGAGTTTGCATTCCTGACACCTAACGTTCAGATTGCAGACAATGTTATCTGTGATGACAAAACTGCTCCACCTTTTACAGGCAGCAGAGAAAACCATTTTAATTCTGAGATGGATAATGCAAACATGGTGAGTTTTCATTCTAGATATTATTCACATTATCTCCTGCACTACTTTTAAACTGTGTCTCTATATGAAGAACTATACTGTAGATAGTGGATGTATCTTCCAATAGATTCATAATGATGTACAGTCTGAGGAAAAGAAATATACCGTATTTTTTGCTCTATAAGACTCCCTTTTTCCCTCCTAAATAGTAAGGGGAAATGTGTGTGCGTCTTATGGAGCAAATGCAGGCTGCACAGCTATCCCAGAAGCCAGAACAGCAAGAGGGATTACTGCTTTCACTGCGCAGCAATCCCTCTTGCTGTTCTGGCTTCTGAGATTCAGAATATTTTTTTTCTTGTTTTCCTCCTCCAAAAACTAGGTGCGTCTTGTGGTCTGGTGCGTCTTATAGAGGGGAAAATACGGTAATTTCTTTTATAACAGATGCTAAATAGTCCTTGTTTTTCTAGTTGCTTCAACATTAATGAAGCAATCATTTTATCTATATTAATTCTGACTAATCCTACTGTCGTTATAGACGTGCTCTGTAGTTACTTATTTACAGATCTACATATTGCCATCTATATGGATGCTTAATAAGGCGGTTAAATGTGCATATATGTCACAGTCTGGAAGTGACGGGAGTGGAGAAGGAGGAAGGAAGAGGAAGTGATAAATAATTTTGGATCCCACCCACTTAGTTCACATCTTATGATATCATTTCATAGCACCCCTGTGTGCAATGAAAATTGGGGTGCTTTATAATGTCTGCCATTTGATACGGCAATATTCTTTCACCTTTAATTGCAGTGAATACTAGAGGAATTATTTATACACCTAATAGATAATTAGCAATGTCTTCAGTTTTCATTTGTTCTAATAGCTTGTACCTGCCCAAATTCCCAATCCTCAACTTAGAATTGAAACAATCAGCACCCTTCTGTGATGTTGGGCTGTGCCATTTAAGATTTTGGATAGAGGAATCTAATATTTGAAGATTCCACACATTAACCAAATAACTTCCTACCCAAACAAAATGATCAGGTGAGGAAAGAGGCAAAAACTAACTTAGCACTGACAAGCTAGGATGGGCATTCAGGTTCAGATCCAGTTATCTGTGTGTGGATACTTTGTTGCTGGATGAAGGTGGATGCATATTCCAAACATTCTGCAATGACCGCTCCCCGCTTAAAACGGGGGGCGCCCTTTGCGTGGACGTGCGCAGCCCCTAGATCTGGAGCGGCTCCAACAGCATAGGCTTGGTTTGCCTTCCCTCAGGTGGGATACCTGGAGGTCTCCGCCTACCTCAGTCAGTTGTCCAATCCCACCTGGGGGAAGCGTTGCCAAGGAGACCAGGCCAGGTAGGGGAGGGATTACCTGCCCACTTATTTCAGAGATAGGGTGGTGGTAATTTTCTCCATATTTTTGAATTAGTTTGGTCACTCATTTCGAATCATTTGCTATAATTCTACACTTTTATGATTTTTTTTTTTAAAAAAGGAAAAAAGAATCAGTTTTCAAACCAGTTTAGAAAGAAAGAGATGATAAAGATTTCAGAGAAGCAGAGAATACTTGATGCAGTTTTAGGTGACAAAATCAGAATTGGATAATTCATGTCATGCTTAGCATCACAACACAGTATAAGATAAAATGTTTTTCCCCCCTAAACACTTGACAGAATCACATTCCTACAGACATGCTTGATGTCAGATGAAGCTTCTAGAAATGTAGTGCTTATAGAAAGAAAGTTCTTGTGGTGTAGCTGTTGGACTGTTGGACTAGGGGCCCCTTGAGACAACCTGTTTATTGAGAAGTCATCCTGATTTGCTTGCACAAAGCTTACTGGGGAGGTTAGACTATACAGTATCTTTATTGCACACTTGTTCTGATTTGTTTGCAGGGAGGTTCTGTGACAATGAGCATGGATCCTGATTTGTTTCTGCAGCATTTATACATCTTCCCGTGAATCATTCATTCACCTCACTCTTTCCAGTGCATTTCCCTAGCACTTGCCTAACCACAAAAAGTCCCATTTTTTTACAAACAGATTTGTTGTGCAATGGCAGCAGAGCACTTCAGTACAGTTTAATTGTGTGCTTGAATCCCTCCCACAAAGTTCTGAAAGTTTGGAGATGAAAGGATTGGGGAGAGACAGGTTAAAATCCTCACTCAGCCATGAAGCGCACTGGGTGAACTTGAGCCTGTCACTAACCTATCAACCTAACCAACATCATTTGTATTGTGAAGAGAATAGAGGGCTGGGGGCCATGTAAGCTCATTGGAGGAAAGGCAAAATATAACTATAATAAAAAAATTATTAGGAGTCCTTTAAAATCCATTTTTGTATTTATTTGTAGTTCTCTGCCCTGTTTGAGACTGCATGTAAACATTTCAATCAGAAAAACAGTATTGTTTAAAATAGGATTCAGCAATTCTCAGGATTTAAGATTCTTTCTCTCTCTCTCTCTGTGTGTGTGTGTGTGTATGTGTCTACACATACACACAGGCCTATGCTTGAACGCAATGGATCTTCTGAGAGATAAACTACTTGTTACATAGGAGCTCTGCATTTGGCGATCCTAATATAATTTTCTTCTTTGTAGAAGCAGTCATGAAGGTTTTCTAATTTTGATCAGGGCCACAACATGAGAATGGGCGGGTCTAATGTTTTTCTCTGTGCCAGAACCTCAGTGCAGATCACCCAAAGCAACATGTTGGGGGGAAATGAGAGCCTGATTAGGGTACCCCCTGCATCACGGCACTGATCCAAGTCACAGGGTCCACACAAGATATTTTAATGTACCATGTATTCGGCCTTGAGCAAATGTGCATATGAATGTGTATGTTATGGGCACAACCCTTCCTGTTACCTTATCCTTATATTTCTTGAGATAAAGTTGCTCTGAGAAAATTTGGGGGCATGGGTGGGATAAACATTTTAAAAATAAATATTTTGGAAACATATTTTATCATTATTTTATTCCTATAATTTAAGAGTTATTTATTTTTATAAGAGAGTTGGTTTAAATTCTAGATAGCACAGAAAAGATTATGATCACATGTGTGCATGCATACATACACGTGAGTTTCTAGCTGGATTCCACGTTATTTAAAATCTGAACAGAAAAAATGCTTATTAAAGTACCAGAAAATATCAGGGAAACATATTTCATGATATTTCAGACAAGATCGTCACAGTGTCTACCATAGTCCAACTTCCAAGAGACTGTGTGGAGAGTAACAGCCTACAATAGCAGGATAATGATTATAAGCAGAGAACAATCAGTTTCCATGATCAGAAATGCGATTCAATCATGAACCTGAATTGCTACAAAATGTCACACAAATGGAGTGGGAGTTTTTTTCTGGTCATGTACTGTACTTGCAGCTGATGTATCAGGATGAGAAATATACCGTACTAAGGAAACTGGCATTTCAGAAAGCACCAAGAAGATGAAGTTATTGTTTTAGGACTCTGGGTGTCGCTGTTTACCAACCAAGGCTGAACAATTTAGTAAGAGATTCAACTTTCCCATCCAACCGCTTCATTACAGAAAATGCAGAAAGAGAGATCACACGTACGGAATCTGAACAACTGGAGGATCTTATATTAAATCAAATCTGTATTTTAAATACAGGCAATAGAGATATCTGTGTTGTCTGTGTGTATATATTAAAAATTTCAGTCACATACAGACAAATCTAAAATATAGCCACTCTATCAAAGAAGTAGGATCTTCACCTTGGCACAGAAGTACAACTGGCAATGGAAACCTTTTCCCAGGATTGCAGAAGGAGAGCTGTATTTTGTTTCATTCTGGTTCATGTTTGGCAAGCTGTTACGGGGCAGATTCATTATTCCATCCCTGAAGAAGCAGAAAAAGGTTCTTTCGTGGGGCCCATCGCCAAAGACCTGAAGCTGGAATTAAAAGAGCTCTCACGCCGTGGAGTCCGCATTGTTTCTCGAGGTAGGACACAGTATTTTGCTTTGAATTATAAGAGTGGTCATTTGTACGTCACAGAGAGAATAGACAGAGAGGTGCTCTGTGGACAAGTGGAAAAGTGTGTCTTGAATTTTGATACCATAGTGGGGGATTCAATGAAAGTATATGGTGCTGAAGTGGAAATCACAGATATTAATGACAACGCTCCCACCTTCCATTCAGAGAAACTAGAGCTCAAAATGAGTGAACTTACAGCACCCGGAACTCACTTTCCCCTTGATGAAGCTCGGGATCTAGATTTGGGCACCAATACCCTTCAAGGATACAAACTCAGCAACAGTAGCCATTTCTCCCTAAATGTGCAAGAGGCAGTTGACGGTAGACAATACACTGAATTGGTACTGGAAAGGCCTTTGGACCGTGAAGAGGAAGCTATTCATAATCTGGTCCTCACAGCATATGATGGGGGAGATCCAGTCAGGACAGGAACTGTACAGATTCAAGTGACAGTTTTAGATGCTAATGACAATGCACCAGTTTTTAGCCATCATAGCTATGAAGTAAGCGTTAGGGAAGATATTCCTGTTGGTACCACAGTGGTTATATTAAAAGCCATTGACCTGGATGAAGGTGTCAACAAGGAACTGAAATATTCATTCAGAAAGATCACAGAAAGGGCTTCACAAATATTCCATTTGAATTCACAAACTGGGGAAATTACGCTTGCAAGAGGCTTAGACTACGAGGAGTCTACACTTCATGAAATTGAGGTCCAGGTCCATGATGGTGGTGAACTCTTTGACAAATCTCAACTTTTGATATTTGTTACTGATGTAAATGACAATGCACCCAAACTGGAAATAACTTCACTTATCAGCTCCATCCCTGAGAACTCTCCACCAGCGACTGCAATAGCCCTTCTGAATGTGCAAGATGAGGATTCGGCAGAGAATGCAGAAATCACGTGCTCTATCCCCAGCAACCTCCCCTTTCTACTGACAAAAGCCTATGGCAACTACTACAGTTTGGTGACAGCAAGAGCCCTGGACAGAGAGCAGGTGGCAGCCTACAACATCACTGTCACAGTCACGGATCACGGGACCCCTCCACTTTCCACATCGATTGTTATTCCACTTGAGGTTTTAGACACAAACGACAACCCTCCACACTTCCTGCAATCTGTTTACACTTCTTATTTAATGGAGAACAACCCAAGAGGGGCCTCCATATTTTCCCTGAAGGCTGATGATCCAGACTGTGGAGAGAACTCCAGAGTCACTTATTCCATCATTGAGCACAACATCAGTGACTCCCCAGTATCTTCCTTCCTCTCCATTAACTCTGAGACTGGGATTGTCTATGGCCTGATCTCTTTTGATTATGAGGAGATGAGGGAGATTAAGTTCCTGGTCAAGGCCCAGGATGGAGGTTCTCCACCACTCAGCTCCAACGTCTCAGTGACTGTCTTCATCCTGGACCAGAATGACAATGCTCCCCAAATCCTGTACCCCTCCCCTCCCACTGATGGTTCCACAGGGATAGAGCTGGCCCCTCGCTCCTCTGAGCCAGGCTACCTGGTCACTAAGGTGGTGGCCGTGGATGCGGACTCTGGCCAGAATGCCTGGCTCTCCTACCAGCTGATCAAGGCCACCGAGCCAGGGCTCTTCACTCTGGTGCTCCACACGGGAGAGATCAGGATGGCCCGCTTCTTTCTGGAGAAAGATGCCCTCAAGCAAAGCCTGGTGGTTTTAGTCAAGGACAATGGGCAGCCACCTCTCTCTGCTTCAGCCACTCTGACTGTGGTGCTGGCTGACACCATCCCTGCAGTCCTCTCAGACCTGAGCAGCATCTCAGCTCCTGTAGATCCTCCGTCTGACCTCACCTTCTACCTGGTCCTTGCAGTGGCTTTTGTCTCCTGCTTGTTCTTCATCTTCCTCCTTGTGTTACTGGCTGTCAGATTGCACAGGTGGAGAAATTCTCAACTGTTTGAGTCAGGGAGTGTGAATTTCAGTGGCGCTCCCGTCTCACAGTTTGTGGGGATCGATGGAGTCCGAGCATTTCTGCACTCCTACTGCCAGGAGGTTTCTCTCACCACAGACTCTAGGAAAAGTCAGTTTAATATTTCTAAGGCAAATTATTCCAATACTCTGAGCAATAAAGATACATGTGAAATAAAGGATCCCTTCCTCATTGCTGAAGATATTAATAGCAGTAATGGAGATTCAGCCAATACACAGGTGAGCTATCCCTTTCAGATCTGGGGTCTGAGGTTTTAAATATAATGCCTGCTATTAATTGTTATGTGCTTTGATGAAGAGGGGGTTGGAAGAACATTCTTCCACTCATATTATTTTATCTTTACCAGAATCTTATAGTTTTTGGTATTTGAAAATACCTACGCCACACATACAACAAGCACACCACTTTTTCCCATAAAAACTAGACTTCTCTTGGTCAAAAGAAATATTTGTCAGGGTCCCCCAGGAAAGAAAGAATCAGAGTGAATGTTTGCTTACTCTCTTTGACAAGAAAAACTATTTCATAGTTGTTATATAAGTAAATTTGAGATCAAAACAGTATTATGTATTTATTTGCCTTGTTCGAAGTATAATGTATGCCTAGTTCTTAGATGACACACACTTCTAATGGAGGACGATACCCAGGTTTTATCACTCACCACTCTTGTGGATGGGGAAATTCATTTCTAACCCCACATATGGTGACAGACCCATAATATGATCAAAACTCATCAGCTGTATTTTCCCAATGGAAGTCTGAGACAGTTCAGGAGTTTGAGATGATTGGGAAGCTTTAGAACATGCTAAATTAAAACATTACAGTCATTATACAACAACTGCATTAATCAAATCTTATTGAGAAGTATGCAAACCTTTGGAGTTAATTATGTGCTTTCACACCTTGAGTATAAAATCCAGGGCTAGTTCATGTGAACAACTACATCACTTGTTAACTGTGTGAACACAGTTTGATCACTTGGCAGCTGAACTGATATGTTGGATTTGTTTCAGAACATTCAGTCATTTTATTTGTGGTGTGACATCTGTGTTCACACTAGATGCTGCAGTCATCAAATGATAAATATTCACATGTGGAACGGGACCTACTGTCATCTGTTTGTAAACCAATTTCATTGCAGTCTTTGATTCTCCATAATATTAAATATTTAGTTATAGGAATTTGGCTTTATGTGACAGAGTATATTATCTTTAACCAGCAGTCTATGCATAGTGATTTCAGCTTATGTTTTTACCAGTTTAGGAGAAAGCAAAGAATGAGAAATATCTAGAAAAAGTATCTCAAGTATGAACAAAATATGTTTCACATAAGTAGACGTATTAATAATAAGTGTATTGTGGCAATGCTTAAGTATGGCAGCTTTGAGAGGTTTTATATTTGAAGCCTGTGGTGCAAAGGACAGAATGTTGAACCATGAAATCTTGAGTTCAAATAATTACTCATCCAAAAAGAAGCTCACTGGGCAGCGTTGGTCACATCTCTCTCAGCCTGGCCTTTCTCCAGGGTTGTTGAGAAGATAAAATGGAATGATCCCACACTCGCATACCTCTAAGCTGCCCTGAACTTCTTGGAGGAAAAGTGGGATAAACAGGTGACCAATAATAATCTCTACTCCCCCACATTTGGAATTCTATAGCTGAGTGGTGGAATTCTATAGTTTGTTGTACTCATAAGATCCCAGATTCAATTCTTACCCTCTCCAGTTAAAGGATCTCCAGGAACATAGCTGGGAACGAACTCTCCGTGAGACCGAGAAGAGCCACTTGTTGGAAATGTGGTCTTCTCTGGTGTCTCATCTTAGAACTGTACAGCAGCATAGTTTTTAGGATGTCTGGATTGCTCATGATCCTCCATAATGCTAAGGTGGCAAAGCCAGGGGAACATGCAGCCTGTATGTATGATATGCAGACAATGTCATTGACACAAGTATTTGGTAAAGTCACAAAGTAAGAGAAGTACATACATGGGTGGTTGGGTTTATTGGCTGCTTGTCCCACTAGCATTAGAACCTGCCTTGCCCTCAATGCCCATCTGAAACAGTCCTGTGCAGAAGGATATATGCCAATGCCAAAAGCAGCAACCCCACATCTTCTCCTTTTCTCTAATCTGTAACATCTAGTCAATCTTGTTGCAATTTTCCTCACTTCATTGGTTGCCACATGCATGGGTGGTGAAGCTTTGAAAGCAATGGCATCATGTTACACCTTTTGTTTTACTTTGAGTTCTTTTGGTGAGAGGGGGAGACACAGAACTGCTGCATTTGATGCCAGCCACACATCCTTTGAAAGAACATCTAGTTCCAGCTTTAACGCTATTCATTTTTCCCAAAAAGGTTACACAGAGAGATCTCTGGTCAGGCAGAAGTGTCCAATAAAGTATGAGCTTCTGATTGAGAAAATGTAAATACTTCTGCAAATGGAATTGTAAAAATACTGCATCTCTGGATATTTCTGATATGACAATTTCAGGAGCTAGAATTTGTGGCATTTTTGTTGGCAATAACGAAGGTATTGCCTGACCATGGAGTTTGGAAGTTCTCTTCATAGTCACAGTAGCAGTTCCAAGACATTAAAAGTCACTGGCCAGCATGAAAGAATCTAAAAAGTGAGTCTAAAAACCAATGAAGTATTAATTCCAAAAGAGCCAAAGGAGGGCATTCTCAAATATCTGGCTCTTTCAGTTGTCCTTTTTTCTGGAACACAAAGATATGATCATACTGGTAGTATTTCTGCTTTTTATTTTCATAACAAAACAACATTTGCAATTCTCTCTCTGAGCCTCAGAGTGTCACTGTTGGCCAGTGTGGTGCCAGAAAAAAGGATGGAGATCTAGTTATGCTTCTCCTACAAAGTGAGTGTTTCATCAGTTCTGTACAGACTGGACGAAGAGAAAAACACAAAGGCGTTGCAGTCTGGCTGAAAAAAAGGAAAAGGCTCCCAATCCTCACAATCTAAGAAGGAAGACAGTTTATATTTACTTACAGAGATTTCCTCTGTGCTATTGAGAAACTGATCTGGTCACTACAAGCTGCAGAAAAGGAGGCAGAAAATTTCTCAGTGATCTGGATGGACAAAAGGCAGGAAGAGGATGGCAGAACATTCAGAAGGCAAGTACTGCTTCTCTTATTTTTGCCTTTCTCCTGCTGGGCTGCCTCAGAGCAGATTCGGTATTCTATCCCTGAGGAGATGGCAAAGGGTTCGATTGTGGGGAATCTTGCCAAAGATTTGGGACTGAATACCAGAGATCTAGGAAGGCGCAATCTGCATGCTGCCTCTGTGAACAAAATGCAGTATTTCAGTATAAGTGCAGACAATGGAAACCTTTATGTGAATGACAGAATTGATAGGGAGGAAATATGTGGCACAACTCCACTCTGCCTTATTAATTTTGAAGTGGTGATGGAAAATCCTTTAAATGTTTTCCATATAACAATAGTTATACAGGATATTAATGATAATGCACCACAGTTCCTCAGTGATATAATCAACTTGGAGATCATAGAATCAACTGTTCTAGGAACCAGATTTCTCCTTGGGAAAGCAGAAGATCCTGATATTGGGTTGAACTCTCTCCAGAATTACCAGCTGAGCTCCAACCAGTACTTCACCTTGGAAGTAAGGGAGAGAAAAGATGGAAATAAATATGCAGAATTAGTGCTAAGTAAAGTTATGGATCGAGAAAGTGAACAGACTATTCACTTGATCCTTACAGCCTTGGATGGCGGCGAACCAAGAAAAACTGGGACTGTCCAGATACGGATTAATGTCACAGATGCCAATGACAACCCACCTGTTTTCACTCAGGAGGTGTACAAAGTCAATTTACCTGAAAATGTTCCTGTTGGGTCACGTGTGCTCCAGGTTGTAGCCTCAGATAAAGACGAAAGCTCTTATGCTCAGATCAGGTATCAATTCAGCAACATAGCAGCAAACAGCCACAAGAAATTCAGTTTGGATCCAATTAATGGCATAGTCACTCTTACGGGACTGCTCAACTTTGAGGAAACTAAAGAATATACCATGACAGTAGAAGCCAAAGATGGTGGTGGATTGGTGGCACAATCCAACATTGAAATAACTGTACTTGATGAGAATGATAATGCCCCAGAGGTGACGTTAGCCTCCATGTTCAGTCCTGTTCCTGAAGATTCTCTGCCAGGAACTGTTATTGCTCTGATCAATGTAAATGACAGAGATAGTGGTGATAATGGGAAGGTTACTTGCTATTTACAGGATGATTTACCCTTCAAAATTCTTCCCTCATCTAACAATTACTTCAAGCTCCAGACAGACAGTCTCCTGGACAGAGAAAGAACTCCTGCATATAATATTACAATCACAGCCACTGATAGAGGAACTCCACCTCTTTCCACACACAAAACAATCTCACTACAGATCTCAGATATCAATGATAATTCGCCTACATTTCAGAGATCAACCTACAGCATCTATGTGCCAGAAAACAATCCTTCAGGTGCCTCCATTTTCACCATCAAAGCCTCTGATTCCGACATGGATCAGAACTCACGGATCACATACTCCATCCTCAACAGCAACATCGAGGACATTCCCATCTCCTCCTATATCTCCATTAATTCGGAGACCGGCACCATCTATGCCCAGAGATCCTTTGACTATGAACAATTCAGAGAGTTCCGGCTGCAAGTGAAGGCCCAAGATGGGGGTTCTCCCCCTCTCAGCAGCAATGTGACCGTCAGGGTGTTTGTTCTTGACAGGAATGATAACAGCCCTCGTATCCTGTCCCCCTCACAAGAAGCCAAGGGCTCAGCCTTGTTTGAGATGGTGCCTCGTTCGGCCGAGGCAGATTATCTTGTCACCAAGGTGGTGGCCGTGGATGCAGATTCTGGACACAACGCCTGGCTCTCCTACCACCTGACTCAGGCCACTGAGCCGGCACTCTTCACGGTTGGTTCTCATACTGGAGAGATCAGGACAGCCAGGGCCTTTGTGGAGAGAGACGCTGTGAAACAGAGACTGGTCATTCTGGTGAAGGATAACGGGCAGCCGTCTCTCTCGGCCACCATGACTCTGAACCTGGTGTTTGCTGAGAACTTTCAGGAGGCCCTTCCGGAAATGAAGAGCCAACCCAGCAGCTCGGAGTATCAGTCTGACCTGCAGTTCTACTTGGTGCTGGCCTTAGCTGTGATCTCCTTCTTGTTCCTCTTGACTGTCATTCTGGCCGTTACAATGAAGCTCCGTCAATCAGGGCATCCCAGGTTCCTACAGTGCTTTGGTCCTGTTCCTCATTCCAAGAATGGTGCCATCTTCCCACCCAACTTTGAAGATGGGACTTTGCCCTATTCCTACCAGCTGTGTCTGTCTTCTGAGTCCAGGAAGAACGAGTTTACCTTCCTGACACCCAGTGTTCAGATGGTAGACAATATTATTGGCAGTGAGAAACCTGCTGTGCCTTTTACAGGCAATGTAGGAAACAATTTTGATTCTGCAGTAGATAATGGAGAACAGGTAAGGTTTGTTTTCTGAAATTAAATGCCATTATCTATCATTCTTTGCCATTAGTGACATTGTCAGAGTGCTTTTTATCCAGCTAATGTGACTGCCTTTTTGTTTTTCATCATATAAATGAAAAGTTTGGCTCTTACATCATTTGGCTTTCATGAATCAGGATGCGTCCTTTTCACTCCATGGGGAAGCTACACATTGCAGCTTCGAGCCATGCCCTTGAAACCATCTGGTATAACTTATCTTGTTGTCATTTGAACAACTAGTATTTTGAGGAGTTGACCTTCAACTACTTTCATTAAAAAGAACTTTGCTTTTCACATTACTTGGCTTGGGGGGGGGCAGAAATTTTGGCTGTAGAATCAAAGGAGGGCACCTTGCTATATAGCAGAAAATACTGTCACTGTTATTAGTATTACTAGCAATTTTTTAAAGCAATAGATTTTAAAGATATACGCTTTTGAGAGGTGTCTGTAAATTATGCTTTACTTCCTTCTCCATAAAATCAAATTCATAGGCATGTGTGTTCCTGCATGAGTGATGTAAAAAAAAAGTCATGTCAAGACTGATTGATTGACTGACTGACTGACTGACTGACTGGCCTTCTAGAGTAGATTGTGGATATTTCCAGCCCCCATATTCCTTTAAGTGAAACCACATTGCATTAAAGCTCTTTCTAAACAACTGTCTGACAGGCGGACAGATAATGTGGGATATTTTGTTAAAGACATGAATTGTGCATTTATTTTTTTAAAAAAATTATTTAAAACAAAAATAAAACAATTACATACAGTCAGAGAGTTATCTTCGAATACTCCACAGAGCTTTGCTAAAGTGTATATTCTAAAATCATTTCAATCTTAACAAAAACAAAATGGTATGTAATAACCTCCATCTCTTTGACTGTTGTCCACAACTACAAATATATATTGTATCAGCAGCAGTGTTGGTCTGCAGGGATTATACAAAGGCAAGAAGGAAGGAGGAAAAATAAAATAAAATATGTGCTTCATGCACACCAAACTGTGCTGTAGGCCAAGGCACATAGCTGTCAACGTTTCCCTTTTTTCAAGGAAAATTCCCTTATTCCGAATAGGATTCCTCGCAAGCAAAGGGGAAAGTTGACAGTTATGCTAAGGCACTGTTCTGCCACATGCCTCATTGTTTGTATAATCTATAAAGTCATCCAAGACTGCATAAAAGTTATCATATTTTCCCTGGCCTCTTGCTGTCTTCAATTTCCATGTCAGTTTTTTCAATAATGCTACCTGCCTGCGTCGTGTATTTCTGCCTCATGATTTAGACAATAATAATGATACTGTGTATATGATATTTATAAGTTTCAAAGGGCATTGCATATAATGGGTCAGATTCAGAATTAGTTATCCTTGGATCAATTAGTCAAACAAGACTAATTTAAGTCAAATTTGTTTAAGCGGGGCTACTCTAAGTATGATGGAGTCTGGATTTGACACATTATCTTAGAATTCTTATATAAGTGAGTTCCTGTCAGAGGCAAAATTCATACCACGGAATTCCTGGTTCACAGTTTTTCACATGAGATCAGCTCAATATACATGAAGCATGTTGAATTCTCGAACTCCTCTACCAACATGTTAGCTATGATACTTACATGGCATGAACGCATGAATAGATGGACAATTGCATTTCTGATCATAGCATTGTGGGATATATTAGCAGGTTCTTGAGTTCCTTAAGCCTGCAATGAACCACCCGCTCCAACTCCCTGCTGGGCTCATGGCCAGTAGGGCAGATGTGAAGATAGAGGAATGTTCTTGCCAGGGTTGTTGCTAGCTGTTGGAAGGAATTAGGGGACAGGCCCATGACTGACAATTGCAGTGTGCTCAGGAAACAAAGAAAAAGAAGTTTCAAAATGGAGAGGAAAGCTCAGAGCATTGGAGGTCCAGCATATAACACCCAGGGCTTATGTATGCAGTTTGGTTCCTTGATTAAATGAAGTTGCACTGACAACAACAGAGACCACATGTAACTTCCTAAAATACTGAAAGGACTGTAGAGATTTCTGAGTAGCTTTCTGGTTGTCCTGTCCCACCCCCACTCCCCGCCAGCAAAATAGGGGTCTCCATATTGTTTGCATATGTAGAGGGGATGAACCATAACTGTGATATTGTGAAGTAGCTGGGGTGTTGTGTAAGGTCAAAAGTACACACCACAAAGTAAATGAAATCAGCAAAATATCTATCGTAACTGGACAAATGGGCAGGTGGGGAAAATGGCAAAGGTAAATACTGACACAGTACATCTGTTGAAGGAGAAAGCTACACAAACAGACCAGAAATTGTGTGGGCATAAGGTGACAAAATAGGACTTGAGATGTGGCACTATTTTCAGTGAAATTATGTAAAGGTAAACACACTTTTCAGACACGGCCTTAGGCTTTCACACACAGTCCAAGATGCCTGTAAATACCTAATACAATTTTTTTTTAATTTGTTTAAAAGTCTTTTATTATATAAAAAAATTCATTCTCATACTGAAGTCTGCTATTCTGATTTTTTTTCTAAAGATGCATTGTATAAATACATTAATTTGCTTGGATTAAGATTAGGGGGTGGAAATAGTGCTATAAATTCATTACCGCTTTTTCTTTGCTGTAAATATTCATTTGAAGCTGATTTCTTTTAACCCATTATAATGGTGAACAGATACCACTTTCCAACAGGCATATTCAAATAACCTGTATGAGAATATGGTCTGAGTCAATACTTAAAAATACTACTATGTCATGTCATGAATTAGAGAAGAAAAATCACTGGGAAAAGATTGCAGTTCTCGGTTTCAGACTCACAGTGTCGCTGTTGGACAAGACGGCAATCCAAGGGCAGCTGATGTTCCACTGATGCTTTCTGCAGAGAGATCTCTTTGTCCCAAACTGCACATTGGGAAAACCAGCAGACGCTGGAACAAACGTTTCAGCTGGAAAACAGAAAACACTGCGGCACATACAAATTAAGCCAAAGGATCCAGTTCTTTTTTTACTGAGGGGAAATCGCCTGTCTTGGTGGAAATCTGAAATCCTGTGCTCATCAAAGAGAAGAGGAAAATGAAGATGAGAGGAATCCTTCATGGAGAGAGCTTTCAAACATCAGGAAGGCATATTACCCTTCTGATATTTTCATCTTTGTTCTGTGGAGCAGTTTTGGAAGAGGTTAACTATTCCATCCCTGAGGAGATGGCAAAGGGATCTTTGGTGGGAAATCTTGCCAAGGATCTAGGACTGAATGCCAGAGAACTGAAGAACAGAAACCTGCATATCATTTCTGAAGGTAAAAAGCCATATTTCACTATCAATGCTGAAAATGGAAACCTGTATGTGAATGAGAGGATAGATCGTGAGGGGATGTGTAGAGAGAGCACACACTGCCTTATTGATTTTGAAGCTGTGGTCGAAAATCCATTGAATGTTTTCCATGTAAGTGTAGCAATTCAGGACATTAATGATAATGCCCCACAATTCTTAGAAGCCAATATTAGACTTGAAATAATTGAATCCACATTGCCAGGTGCTAGATTTCTCCTTGGGAAAGCTGAAGATCCTGATATTGGGATTAATTCTCTCCAGAATTATCAGTTAAACCTAAATCAGTTCTTTGTATTAGAAATTAAACACAGTCTAGATGGCCATAAAAATGCAGAGTTGGTCCTACAAAAACCTTTGGATCGGGAAAGTGAGCACTCGCTTCAGTTGATCCTCACGGCTCTTGATGGAGGTGAACCAAAAAAAACTGGGACTGCCCAGATATGGATTAATGTCACAGATGCCAATGACAACCCACCAGTCTTCACTCAAGAGGTTTATACAGTTAGCCTGAGGGAAAATTCCCCTGTGGGGTCCCCCATACTCCAAGTAAAAGCCTCTGATAGGGATGAAGGTTCAAATAATCAGATCCATTACACATTCAGTAAAGTCCCAGAAAAAGTCTATGAAAAATTTAGACTAGATCCACAAAGTGGAACAATTACAATTAAGGAGACCTTTGACTTTGAGGAAACAGAGAAGTACACTATGGCAGTTGAAGCAAGAGATGGAGGTGGATTAGTGGCTCACTGTAATGTTGATATAAAGATTATAGATGAGAATGATAATGCTCCAGAAATTATTCTAGCCTCCTTATCTTCTCCAATTCCCGAAGATTCTGTTTCTGGAACAGTAATAGCTCTCATCAACGTAAAGGATAGGGATTCAGGAGAAAATGGAAAGCTCACCTGCCACTTACAAAGTAATGCACCATTTAAAATAGTGTCAACATCTAAGAACTACTACAAAATCCTTACAGACAGTCCTTTGGACAGAGAAAAAGCCTCAGGATACAACATCACAATCACGGCCACCGACAAAGGTAGCCCCCCTCTCTCCTCCAACAAAACCATCTCCCTGCAGATTTCAGATATCAATGACAACCCCCCTGCCTTTCAAAAATCAACCTACAGTGTCTTTGTTCCTGAAAACAATCCCTCAGGTGCCTCCATTTTTGCCCTCAAAGCCTCGGACCCAGATCTGGACCGCAACTCACGTATCACTTACGCCATCCTCAACAGCAACATGGAGGAGCTGCCTCTCTCCTCTTACGTCTCCATCAACTCTGAGACAGGAACTATCTATGCACAGCGCTCCTTTGACTATGAGCAATTCCGGGAGTTTCAGATCCAAGTGAAGGCCCAAGATGGCGGCTCTCCCTCTCTCAGCAACAACGCCACCGTGTGGGTGTACATTTTGGATCAGAACGATAACAGCCCTCGCGTTCTGTATCCTGTCCCAGGCGCCGAGGGCTCTGCCTTGTTTGAGATGGTTCCTCACTCGGCAGAGCCAGGCTACCTAGTGACCAAAGTGGTGGCTGTGGATGCGGACTCTGGGCACAATGCCTGGCTCTCCTACCAAGTGCTGCAGGCCACAGAGCCGGCCCTCTTCACCATTGGGACCCACACGGGAGAGATCAGGACGTCACGAGCCCTTCTGGAGAAAGATGCTGTGAAACAGAAGCTGGTCATCTTGGTGAAGGACAATGGGAAGGCTCCGCTCTCAGCTACTGTGGTCCTCAACCTCGTGGTTGCTGAGAACTTCCAAGAGGCACTTCCAGAAATGACTAGGCAATCCAGTGACACAGAACATCATTCTGACCTCCAGTTTTACTTGGTGCTGGCTTTGGCATTGATCTCATTTTTGTTCCTCCTAACGGTGATACTAGTCATTGTCATGAAACTTCGACAATCAGGAAATCCCAAATTATTCCAATGCTTTGAACCTAATGCTTTTTCTAAGGCTCAGGTCATATTTCCACCAAACTATGAAGAAGGAACTTTACCTTATTCCTACCAACTCTGTCTATCGTCAGAGATGAGAAAAGAGCAGATCTCTTTCCCGAAACCCCATATCCAGGTGGCAGAAAACTTGCTATGCAATGATAGCTCTCAGGTGGTTCTTGTGGATGGCAACTGTGGGGATGCCAATGCCAAAGAGGAGGTTGGTGAGCAGGTAAGCTTTGCTTGCAGAAACAGCCTTACCTTAAAGGAATAAAACTAATATTTTTATTTTGTTTTACTATATAAGGGTGTCAGCAAAATCAAATTACAGTATTAGCAGCAGTTGTTCTGATTGTGAAGAACTTTTCCTACAAGTAGCTTTTAAATTGCAATGGTAGACGCAGCATAAATTCTGAATCATACAATAATGACAGAGTGAGTCTTCATCTCAGGAATTAAAGGAAATGTAAGCATGCATACAGCTTGAGTGTTCAATCTTCCTGTGGGGTATTAGCATGTCACCATAAATATATAGTTATTTATACACCCCTCATCAATTAAAAATAAGGATCAACTTAACTGAAGAATGCATAAAAAATGAATACTTCCTGTTTATTTGTAGTATAATTTTGGACTTTTCTGGAGGATTCATAAAAAGAAGTTGTGTGAAATACAGCAAGCACAGAAAAGGCATCCCGAATGATCAATGGGTGCAACAACTTCTGTAGGGATATTTAGTTTGGATAAAAGACAAGAAGGGAAGTGAGACAGCTGTATAGAATTATGAACGAGGTTGAGAAAATGAATAGAGAGATCCCTCTCCCCCATATTACCGGAGCCTGTGGCCATTGGATGAAGCTGAACATTGGGAGATTCAGAACAGATAAAAGGAAGACCTTCTTCATACAATGCATAGTTAAACTATGGAATTCCTTGTTGACAACTAAATGCAACAAAGTACTTGCCAGAGATGTCTGGGACATCATATCAGTGAAAATGGAAATGGCAGAAAACAATTAGTGTGAATCTTAAGAAACACTAAGTTTATGTATAAGTTTATTTTTTGATGGTATATGACACTGCTGTAGCTTCATCACATTTTAGTTGTTGTTTAGTCGTGTCCAACTCTTCATGACCCCATGGACCAGAGCACCCCAGGCACTCCTGTCTTCCACTGCCTCCCACAGTTTGGTCAAATTTATAGTACAGCAAATGATTACGTTGGAGGTACAATTCAACCAATGCTAGGATGCAACATATTTGGGAGACATGTCCCTAAATTAAGAATTTGTGGGTGGATATATTAAGAGAATATGGAATAATGACAGGATGCACTTTGCCAATGGATCCTCTCATTGTTTTATCTAGTTATTTTAAGGATTTAGTATAACAGAAGACAGATAATTACTCCAACAGTTACTGTCTGTGGCCAGAGCAACTATTTGTTATAACTGAGGGCAGGGGCTAAGAACACCAGCTTTAGGGGAATGGATTACTACAGCATGGAATATTTTATCAATGGTTCAAATAATTAATACAGTAAGAATCAGAAAGAGGAGGCAGTCTGATAACTTTCAGTGTGTTTTT